AAAAAAATTGTTCATTTTATTTGTAAAATAATTTGGGGCCAGGGGGCCCCCACTCCTTTGATGCCCCGAGGCCTCCACTCCTCTAAATCCGGCCCTAGTGGCCAATATAGTTGGATTGTAGCCAGCTAGTTGGTAGCAAATAGTTACTATTAATTAATCATAATTTTACAATTATTTCGATGAATAAAACCTACCAACGTTCTGAAAATGATTTATCTATCGGTTATCAAAATTACGTCTGTAGACTGTAATTAGTATTATTAATATACCTACCTATTATTTAATATACATATTTATAAGATTAGTTATAACTGAGACGTATAACGTATTAGTGTGTTACCTATTTTTAAATGTTTACATTTTTGTGGCGGATTCCCCTAACTAGGAAATGATGTATCCAAAATTTGAACTTAACTAAATATATCATAGTTAATGTAATTTATAAATATATATATATATATATACAATATACATTAATTGGCGCAATAAGTATTGTACATTTAATATATTATAACGTTATGATCTAAGGACTATAGTATCTTGTACTCCCCTGCCAATCTGCCATAGATGAATGATATACCTACCTCTCGGCTCTCGGACAAGTAGAACCGTAAAATGGGGGTGAATTGCAACGATATTAGAGTCTTACCTAACTTTGAACTTCATAGTTACATTAACAAACCTAACCTAACCTACCCAGAGGCGTATATTTATACATCTACCACCTGTAGGGCTGTGGAAAATGTCCGCCCTTAAATACGATAAAATAAAATTTAATTAGGTAGTTACGCAAAACAACTATCATTTATATTTTAAATTCAAAAAACATGACAATTGAAGTTGAAAAACAGAAAATAAATAAGGAATAACAAAATGGATACAAAATGTGGATAATGGACAGCGCTTAGAGAGAGGCGTCAGGTGAACAATATAGAGAGAGAGAGCGAGAAAAGAAACAAAATACCTACAATTTATTAATAAGCGGGCTCTTTCACTAATTCACTACTTCTTAGCACTGTGGACAGGGCGGAGTTGAATGTGCTGTACATTATCTTATAGGTCTATGACGGCGATAAGAAACTTTAAAAATAATACATATTTTGTTGTTGACTGTTGTGGTTATATAGATTATATTTTCAAATAACAAAAAAATTTGGTAAATGGTAAATTTGGGTTCAGTAGAACCAATCTCGTGGCATGTGTTTTTAGCTTTGGTATTAAAGAAAATTAATTTATAATCAAACTTAATGTTAAGAACATCATTTGTGTTCTTGCGTAGACTTTTGATGATATTTAAACTGTATTGGGACTTAATAGTTAATAGTATTATGTAATATATTACAATTTATAAATGTTCTAATCTTGCGTTAAAATTGAAATATTGTAAATAATCCATAGTTAGAACACGTAAATGTTTTCAACTTAAAGTTTTATTATAGGTCAATTTACTCTAATATTAAAACTAGAATGATTTATGTACTTATGTCTATTATATGAATTGGGTTTGGTGGGATGGTGTGTATAGCCATCCAGTATCCACATTAACACTGAAACAATATATCGGTGGGTAGGTGCTTATTTTAAATAGTCACTTCACAGAAAATAAAAATTCACACGTCACACCGCTACTGAGTGACTGGTTCGCACTTTCCATGTTATAACTCGGGCCACCGAGAGAGCTCTACTCCTTGGCGCATACAAATGATCGAGCTCCGCGGTTCCGTACCCATATTTCTCCCACTCTACTACCTATTCGCCGCCCAAAATACTCCCACTCGCTACGCGACAACCATGGGCTAATTCCACGGCCGCCGCCACCAAGCGGCAACATGTGGCTTGTCTACAGCGGCTCAAGTAAATACAATGGAAATAATAACGCCGACGACCGTCGCACATGGTATATGTTTGTATTTTGTATATATGGTTATTTCTTATATTATATTATAGATATTTAACATCGCATCCTTTCTTGAACATTTTCAATCACTCATTACACCATTAATAAATCTCCTCACAACATTAATAAATAGAATTTTAACCAAAAATGATAACTAGCCCAAACGTAAATCATCCATTATCAATTTTCTCTTGGAATGCCAATGGTCTTAGACAACACATAAATGAACTCCAGCACATCCTATTAGAAACAAACACCGACATTGCACTAATTTCTGAAACACACTTTACCCCGAACACCTGCGCGAAAATATATGGCTTCAATGGCTACTTTTCTTGTCATCCTGATGGCACGGCTCATGCAGGTTCTGCAATCAACATCAAATCAAACATACCCCATCATTCACTAACCCCCTACTCCACTCCTCACATTCATGCAGCCAGTGTCTCATTAATTGTACCTAACAACATACTTATCACCGTCTCCGCAGTTTATTGCCCTCCTGGCCTCATCACCACATCAGACCACTTTTCCAACTATTTCTCAACCTTGGGTCATCGTTTTATCTCTGGTGGTGATTTCAACTCTAAAAACCCTGCATGGGGTAACCGTTCTCCCAATACCAGAGGCAGAGCTTTACAGCAATGCATAAACAACAAAAACTACTCCTCAATAGCCCCCCCCCCAGGTCCTACATACTGGCCCTCTCATAGTAACAGACATCCTGACATTTTGGACATTTTTGTCAAAAAACTACCTAGCAACATACATAGTGATCTCATCAACCTCTACGACCTTTCTTCTGACCACTCCCCAACAATGCTTAAACTCGGATTAAATGTCCCTCCCCAACAAAGGGACTCTTACCCCAAGTCAACTAAACTGGCCTAACTTTAAAAAAGTAATAAATAAAGATATCAAACTCTCGATCTCATTAAAAACAACGGATGACATCAATGTTGCTGTCAATCTCCTCACAACCTCAATCCAAAAAGCTGCACTAGAATCAGCAAAACCTTATAACCATACAAACCCAAAAAAACAAACCCCATATCACATAAAATCATTACTAGCCGAGAAACGTAGAATAAGAAATAAATGGCAAACATTCAAGTACCCAAATGACAAGGTAAAACTTAACAAATTGAATAATGAAATAAAAAAGGCTATCCAATTCGACAGAAATCAATCCTACAATAATTATGTAGAATCACTAACCACAAAAAACTCATCTCTTTGGAAAGCGACCAAATCTCTACTCCGCCTAAATCAACCTACCCCCCCTTTAAGAAATGAAGACAACTCATGGGTTATTACCGACACTGACAAAGCAAATATTTTAGCACAACACCTGGAAAACTCTTTTTCTCCCCATGATATCCAACCCAGCCATTCCCAACTAAAAATTGTTGAAGAGTACCTTGAAGCTCCTCTACCAATGTCCATGCCTGCCAAACCTACATCTCCTGATGAAATTAACACCATAATCAAAAAAATTCCTACCAAAAAATCCCCAGGTCACGACCTAATAACTAATTATATCGTAAAAAACCTTCCACGTAAAGCCATAGTATACCTATCTCACCTTTATAACGCAGTACTTAGATTATCCTTCTTCCCAAACTCCTGGAAGCACTCCATCGTAATACTCATTCTCAAGCCAAACAAACCTCCCGAAAATCCAGCATCATACAGACCGATAAGTCTTCTCCCTACTTTCTCAAAAATCTTCGAAAAAATTCTCTTAAAAAGACTCATCCCTCTTGCCACTGAAGCTAACATCATTCCACACACCTAGTTCGGTTTCAGAGCCCATCACTCAACAATACACCAACTTCATCGCACTGTCGATAAAATATCCAACGCACTGGAGAAGAAAGAATTCTGCCCTACTGTGTTTCTGGATGTCTCACAGGCTTTTGACAGAGTCTGGCATGAAGGGCTACTTTACAAACTAAAAAAGTTTCTCCCAGCACCATATTTCTTACTAATAAAATCCTACCTATCTGACCGCTCCTTTAAGGTTCGTTTAAATAACAGCTATTCAACCAGCTGTCGTATTAGTTCAGGTGTTCCCCAAGGTAGTGACATCGCCTCCTTTCTTTATTCTGTGTTCACTCATGACATCCCCAAAACACCCTTCACTTTTCTTGGCACATATACCGATGACACACTAATTTCAGCTTCACACCAGGATTCCGGAACTGCTTGTCGGATGATCCAAAGTCACTTTAATATGATAAACTTATGGACAAAACGTTGTATAATAAAAATTAACGAAACGAAGTCTACTCATGTAACTTTTACATTGCGCAAATCTGTCTGCCCTCCTGTTACATTTAACAACCAAATAATTCCTTCGTCAGATGAAGTTTAATACCTAGGTTTAATATTTGACAAACGCCTCAACTGGAACTCGCATTTAAAACAAAAACGTAAATCAGTAAACTCCAGACTACATCTTTTGAGACCCCTATTAAAATCTAAACTTTCTTTAACCAACAAACTTACGATATATAAATCGATAATCCGTCCGGCTTGGCTCTACGGCATCCAACTTTGGGGGCCAGCAAAACCATCAAATATTAAAACTCTCCAAGCATTCCAATCCATATGTCTACGCCTAATAATTTCTGCCCCTTGGTATGTTACCAATAAAAATCTCCACAAAGATCTGAACATACCAACCCTCAACGACTTAGCCAAATCCTATTACTCAAAATTCCACTCAACCCTCCGCGCTCATTCAAACCCCATAATTAAAAGTTTATCCTCTGCCTCTATTATTCCTAGAAGGTTAAAAAGACAATGTCCAAGAGATCTGCTCAATACCTAATTAAAAAAAAAATAATTATGATAAAATGAATTAAAATAAAATTCAAACCGTAATTTCTTGTCAGGTGGCACTGCTGGGAGCCTTCCTTCTCTTTTAATTGTTATTATTGTTAATTGTTATATTCTTTAAGTCACCACACTTACTTATTATACACTGTATGTATAGATTGTAAATACACTTTTATTTAATAAAAAAAAAAAAAGATATATAACAATTTATATTATAATATATGCATTTATTTATTTAATCAGTCATGTTTATTTATACAGATAAAATGCATGTTGTAATATATAAAATAGAAATAATGCAAAAAAAATTTAAATACAAAAAAAAAATTATACAAATAAATTATTCAGAGTCTGAATCAAAATCAGAATCACTGTCATCACCTGTCCCTATTGTTAGGATGTGTTGTTCACTTTCAGGTTCTTCCTCCAACATTTCATCTGTGATGAAGTCGATTCTCAAAAATTTATCTTCCTCTTTTACGACGTGCTGAACAAAATTGGTCCACATCTCTGGTGTTACGTGTTCTACGCCTTGCTTTAATAATTCTTGTACGTCTTTTAATTTGTAGGTATTGTTATGCGTCCGGACATAATGTTTGACGGATGACCACGCGAGCTCTATTGGGTTCAGCTCGCAGTGGTATGGAGGCAATCTTAAAACGGTTTTGCCATTTTCTTTTGCGTACTCGTCGATTACATATTTTTCGTGTTCAGATTTGATTTCCTTCACTCTCAGTAACAATTCCGCCTTGACTATTGGTTGTGTAACGACCTCACCTTTACTTTCCAGCCAGTTTATAATATCCTGTTTTTTCCACGACATCACTGGAGTTGGATCTTTTTCTACAGAATGGTATGAAGCATTGTCCATTATAATGACTGCGTTATCTTTGAGTAACGGTAGAATTTTAACAAACCATTCAAAAAAAGTAGAACCATTCATTTCGTCATGGTAGTCGAATGAGTTTGTTTTGGATTCGAAGCACAAAAAGCCCCCCGACACAAAGCCGTCGGATGATCCAATGTGTAAGACGATGAGCCGCTTACCTTTGCCCGAGGGTTCCTTTTGTCCTGTTGTGAGACCTTTCTTGAATGCGTCACGTCGTGAACTGACTGAACTGTCGACCCATGTTCTACTATGTGTTTCTCCTGCGTTGACCCACGTCTCGTCTAAGTAATAAATTTGTCTGCCCTCAGCTCTGTACTGTTTTATTTTTTTCAAATATTTTTGCCGCCAAGCCACAAGGTCATCTCTTTCAAGAAGCGCACTATTCCGACATTTTTTTACGTACACAAACTGCAATTCTTTCAGTATTTTTTGAAATGATGAACGTTTCATTCTTGGCAACGTTTCATCTTCGTTTATGGCAGCCAACACCTTTGAAATTGTGGGCACTTTACGGTTGAACCAAAAACTATGGATTTTTTGACGTATTGCGTTTTTGTCAAAATCGTCCACTTTATCGATAATTGTAGGTCTTACTTTCTTTTTGTTGGGTGATGACACAGTACCTTTATTTTTGTATTCGGACAAAGTTGTTTGGACTGTACGTTGACCAATACCGGTTGATTTTGAAATTTCCAAAATCATTTGCCTGTAGTTTATTCGAGGGCTGTCTGGATTTTCGCTTTGTTGATTAACTTTTTCTTTGTATAGATTGATGATAATTTGCCTCTGACCGGTACCAATAAACTGCAGAAAAAATTATTTAAATAATAAGAATTATAAATAGAGAAATATTTTTAAAAAAATAGTTATATATTTTTTATATTAACACTTACCTTTCCACTAGGATTTTTTTTCTTAGGTGAAATAATATCAATAAGATCCATCGTAGTCTTACTAATACAATAGTAAATACTAAAAAATAAAATATACTAAAACACGCAAAAACAAAAACTTGATGATTATTGTATGGCAATACGTAAAATACGGTGACAAGGAAACACTTCAGTTCACGCTGTATACAGACAACAACCTGAAAGGCTGAAACGTGCTACGTTTTGGCGGTGACGGTCACGACATTGGCGGCGGCAACTGTGACGGCGGCCTGCAAAACGGGAGGTTTGGTGGTGGGAATGCGCGAGAATGGACGAATTTTGATCGCCGCCCAGTAGCGGTCTCTCGGCCCGACATATAGTATGTTACGACAATCCGATGTTTAGAAATCAAATAAAGTTAACAATGCGTAAATACACGGCTAACATAGCTGCCATATATCTTATAGAGTCATGGTTTTATAAACATCCCGATTCCCGAAGAGTGGAATTCGACACTAATACCTACCTATATGTCCAAAATATAAAAAGGACGACAAAAAAGACTGTAACAACTAACAACCATAGAGGTATACAGTATACTGCATAGGCGTATACTCCTTAGTGAATGTAACTTATAAAATACTATCATATGGTATTCTAGACAGAGTCAAACCTTTTGCTGACAAAATTAAAGGGGTCTACCAAAGTGCTTTCAGAGATAATAAATCCACATAATAGATCAAATATTTATTATGAGACAATTATTTCAGAAAACTTGAGAAATAAAAAAGATAGGCAATAAAATATAATTACAATGATGAATATATAACCTGCTGGTGGGGAAAAATTGGATGGAACATAAGTCTTTTAGCGTATGCAGACGATATAAGTAGGTAGTGCTACTGTAGAGAACTACTTAAATTCAGTGAAAAGTTTATGTACTCATAGAAGCAAAAAGTGAGCTTGATACGAATTAATAAAGGGAAAACAGAATATTGGGAAGCCGTTTAGGTTGGTGCAAAATCGTGATGGATTTGAATGGAGATAGATATGTTTGGACATTGGATGTGTGGTCAAAAGGCCGTAAACAAAAAAAAAATATATAAGCATAAACATTTTTTTGGGCGGGCCAATTTTTCTTGGAGTAAAATACTTATCAGATATTTATCCATGATTGCCCTATGTTTATATCGGCGACCAAACAACATTTATGTTTACCTTCACTAATGTTTATTAAATCCATAGCATCATTATTGTTCTATGTGGTACTATCGACTATCGATCGTAATAAACTGATAAAGTGATAAATAATAATAACAATAATGTAGATTGTATTGATTATAGATACTCACTATCCATTTAAAATTATTTATTATACCTACGTATGAAGTGATATTTTACTTTTTGGTCGTTCTCGTTTGCACGGATCTTTCGATCGTCATTTACTCTTATGTGGTCGAGCTGTTAAACCAACTTCGTTGTCGCATACAGGATTGGAGTTGTTTGTTGCCGACACACAATGTCTTTCCACGATAGTAACATGTCACCATCTTCGACTTTCTCAATGGACGACGACGACGACAACATGAGTGTGAAGAACGAAAACAAAGATTTAACTGACTCTGATGGTACGCAACAAAGTTATATGAAATAAACATTCGCATTAATGTCATTAGTTTTCGTTTTTCAGAAGAAGGCAAAGAAAACCGTGAGAAACACACTGAAATACAGGAGCAGTGAGTAGCTCATGTTTCCTCAATGCACAACTTAATTGTGTTGACGGTCGGTAAGCAATTTTTATTTTAATATTTTTTTCTGTTATTTTAGGGTCTACCAGGATAAATTAGCTGGTATCCAAAAGCAACTACAGCAGTTGCGTGATGGGACACACGCAGAATATGTAAAGCAATTGAAAAAATTGGATGCACAGCATAAAAATGAGTAAGTTAATATTTCTTTATTACCTATTATACTAACAGTTAAATCCTGATTCAAATGGTTTTTCTTATTAATTTATCAATAGACTAAGGATGAATAATTTGTGGCGAGACTGTTTGCTTGATGCTATCGAAAGAGAATTTAATAGAGAACGGCGTCTAGCTCACAAAGAGTTTGAAGATCGTAATGCTGAACTCACTGAGACTTTGATATCAGAATTAAATGAAAGGAAAAAAGCTATAGAACATGACAATTTAAATACAGAACTTTGTATGTATTATAAACATCTGTATACAGTATATTTTATCTTTTTATAATGTTATGGTGGTTTTCAGCTCCAGACTCATCAGATCAAAAACCTGCTATGACAAGAAAACTGAGAAGAAGACCAAATGACCCAGTGGTTCCCGCACCTCAAGAGAAACGTCGCAAACCCCCACCTGTATCAAATATCTATTATTTGTTGCAGGAACACGAAATTGATCACGATGTAAAACTTATTCAAGAGTCATTAGCTTCATTGGCATCTACTTCTACCACAACAACCCCTACTGTCAAAACAAGGGATACAGTAAATTCTTCATCTATTAGGAAACCAGGTTGGTCATATTTACAATTACATTTTGATAGTTTGTAGTATATAGAATTATTTTTTAGGGTGTCTTCCAAGTACTAGTTCATCAACTGCAGGTAATATGAGTCCAAAAAAATGCCAGAATTCAGACACTGAAGGATCATCAACTATTCCAGATACGCGTATTGAAGATGGAAAACTGCTGTTTGAAAAAAGATGGTATGAAAACTAAAAGTAATAATTGTTTCCTAAGATAAGAATTATTTTAATTTTAGGTATCATCGAGGACAACCTGTTTTTGTCGAAGGAAGGCAAATGGCAAAATTCCCAGCTGTTATATCTGCCATTGGCAACGAAACTGTAAGTCATTCAATTTATAAAAAAAAGTTTAATATTATAAAAAATTGTGGTACAAAAATCTTTAAATAATTTCTGTTTTTCAGATCTGGGTAAAGAAAACGTCAGACAACAGTAAATTTCGTATCAACTTGTCTTACCTATCCAAAGGTAAAATGTCTATCAAACGTCGAGCTGCTGTTTAAACAACTACTTATATTCAGATGTTATATATTTATGCATGTAGGTCATTTATTTTTATTTATTCCTGTTTTTTTTTTTTATTTACAGTTTATAAAAATATGAATTTGTATCCTATAGTAATGTTATATTTCCTATTGTGAAACTAAGGTACATATTCAAATGTAATGATTTGTGAAGATATTTTCAATTATCGTATATAGTGTAATAAAATAATATAATACATTTTTTCTCTGTATGGAATTATAGTGTAACAATTATTTTATTTTAATCATGTTTACAATTTTTATTCTATAAAGAAATGATTCAAATTTTAATTTTTGGAATATACTCTTCAGCCAATATATCAGTCATCTTACGTTTGATGTGTGACAAATTTTGTTCAATATACTTCCAGTTAGTTACAGTATCTTGGAGTAATACTTGAGCTTTAACCAACTGTTGGTCCGTTTCGTTCATTTGATTCATGGCATTTATATACATTTGCTTGTTGAATGTTGTGAGATTTGAATAAAACTGCATATTTTTCTCTTCTAGAACAAATTGAATTAAAATATAGAACAGTTACTCATTTCTTATGATGAACATTTATCATTAACAAATAACATTATTATACTTAAGTAATTTACTTAATTTTCGATGCAGTAAAGTGTCTTCAGACATTTTGAAATTGTCGGAACGGCCAGCAAAACTTTCTCTTCCCACTCGACTTTTTCTATTTTCTACAATAATTTTCATTAATGAAAAACAGTTGATGCGTAGACACAGTTGAAGTACAATTAAAATAACTAACTAAACAACTTGTGTTTTGTAAAAGTGAATAGTCATATAAATAACTGCTACGACATACTTGAATTGCTTGCCTGGTATTTGGAATCAGTGTCAAACTCTGTGTGGTCGCTCTCAGCCATTCCACTTCTTGAGTTCTGAAATTAATCATTATCTTTTTGCAGCAAATGTGTGTTTTGATCATAACAGTAAAATCTATTGCGGATCTTACCTCAATTTGTTGAAAGTCTTCATCATCAGATTCAGAAGCTTCGCCCAGAACAAGCATTGCTTTATCTGACATGATAGAAGTATTTTATAAAACTATATAAAAAATAGTTTCTGCACTTTAAGATTTAAGACTTAAAGAATGTAATAACTAGTAGTATTAATGTAGGCTATATTTTACTACCTGGGAAGAAGACTTATATTCAATTGTTATTTTTTACCACTTGTTAGTTTAATGACAACAAAAATACTGATAACAATATCATTGTTTTTTTTTATCATTTATTCTGTGATAATATTATTATTATAAACATAGACTATTAGTGGGCATCGAGTATAAGGTAAGCTGCAGTATAATCATAGTATAACAGTAATATGAGGTCTATGATTATACATTTATTATTTATATCAAGGTGGATTTATACTTAATACATTTTTATTTAATTCGCCCAAGGTGGATGTATGTAAATATTGCTAACCTTGAATCCACCTCGATTTATATCATACCATCACACATTCACACCTTGCAATCTTGCATACCATAGACAGTAGACATAAAATAAATAATAATAATAATATATTATAAAGTTATAGCACAGAAAAGGGTTCATCTATTCGGTGGTTATAGCTGAGTTTGTTATTTCTTTCCTTTTGCGGTCTATTATATTATAAGTCTAATGTCTATGTTGCATATAACTATTTATACCTTATAGGTCTATCCTGGTCGCAAACTATCATTGACATTATCATAGAATTGAACACATTAATAAATTATGCTCTGTGAGATTATAGTATTATACTTAGATCATATACATAATCAAAGGTATTATACTACTTGACAGAGCATCTGGTCAATGCGTGGGTGGGCGGTGTGCTCTCGACCTCTCGTGATAGATGTTGCAATTGTAATAACAGATATAACTAAAATTATTATAAAATAGAAAAATTACTGTCAATAATATTAATAATCTGAATGACTGTATGTGATGTGTACGTTCAGACCGCTGGAAGTACAGCAGTGCTCCATATAATACCTAATTACCTAGTATATATAATCAATGCTAGTACCTATAATAATGCCTATGATTTATATACATATCTGTTTCTTAATAGACAGTGTTGCTGAACTTCTAAAATTTAACTCAGTCCAAATGAAAATACGACTTCCAGCCTCTAATACATGGCCTCAAGTCTACATTTTAAAATGTTGTATAGAATAACAATTTGTGACAGTTTAATTTATTTTGACTTTCAAAGGAAATGTCCATATAGAATGTACATTTCTACATAATGTATTAATATTCATTGCACGTAATTTAATTTGAGTATAAGAGAACTGTACAAAGTACCTATGCAGCTATAAATATTTTATTAATTCATTGTGTAAACATACTGTCTAAATTCTAAACTATTTAAATAAGTAGGTAAAATATTTAATGTATCCCTTATTTTCATCTAGTAATCAAATATTTTCTGGTATGAATTTCAACCACAACTGTTTGAACCAGTCCACATTTAAAAAAAATTATTCAACTGTGGCCTGACCTAAACAAACATAGAGTTTGGCGCTACTGGCTACTATAATACATATTATATAGGTATTTAATTATTATCCTACACAATTCATGAAAACTATAAAATTATATTATTTTAAAAATCATCCACTGTTATTGGTCTTGAAAAAAAACAAAAAAATTTAACTATTCAATGGTTGTAATATTATTTAACTATTTATTTATTTATCGAATAAAATTTCCTACAGCAACAGAAATACTTAAAATAAAATTATCATTATAACAAAAAAAGGCTAATGGCTGTGCGGAGACGAGAGTTTTAATAAAATAAAATAATATTATAAATTGAATAATTAATCCAAACATAATATATAAATTATTATAGTATTAATTTCAGTATGGTTAATAGTTATCACATTTTATTTACTAATCTCTTAGAATAATTTGTTAGTTTTATTTTATTTGAATACAAACAGAAATTTGATACTCAAACTTTGTTTTTCAAATCAAATGTATCATATAAGTCAGTTCTTCTTTGATTTTCAGTGGGTATTTGCTGTCTCATATTTTCCCGAGCATCAAAGTCTATAACAAACAAATAACACTCTTAATTTAAGATTTAACAGAAAAATAAAAAATTATATTTACTAAGATCTATATATAAATCCATGTCTTTTTCAGTAGCTTCTTCTAAAATGTTACCCCATGGATCGACAACCATGGAATGACCCCATGCAACATAATTAGAATTAACTCTAGCTGGTGAAACAACAGCTACAAATGCCTGATTGTCTACTGCTCGGCATCTAGTTAATAAGCTCCAATGTAAAGGTCCGGTTGTCATATTAAAGGCACTGGGGTATATTAACATATCACAACCTAAACACCAAAGTGTATAATAGTGTTAATAATAATATAATATTTATTAAAAGTTAAGTAAGCAGCAAACCTTGCTTTCGGTATATTGCTGCCATTTCTGCAAATCGTATATCATAGCAGATCCCAAGACCGATTTTAAATTTCCCCAATTGAAATGTATTTAGTGAATTCCCAGCAGCTAAGGCATCAGATTCTTTGAAGCAAATTCCACCAGGAATATTTATATCGAATAAATGCACCTACATTAGTGTGCATATATTTTAAATACATATTATGTAGTAGCATTTACAGAGAAATTGTGATGGTTTTTAACTAATATTAGTAAATAATCAAGATTACATTTAATATTTTGGGCCTTGGCTTATTTGACAATAAATAATAAAATAAATATTCACTTAAATAGTATACATTATATTCTGTGCATGTTGAACTGGGGTTCAGTTCTATGTACCAAAAATATTTTATTTAGAGAAATTATGATTTCAATTCATAATATTATTATAATTGTATTTATAGGTACTTCTTGGTCATGAAATATCAAATGTGTAAAGTACTTTTTGATGTTTGGCTATCAGGTTTCCATTCGGATCCCAAACTGTGCAAGTGTTGTAGACTTTGTCATCACATATCTCTGGAATTGAACCACCAACAATATACATTTCATTTGATTTGGCAGCCTGAGACAAAGCTTTACACGTGTAACCTCCAGGAATAACTTCTGAGTATTCTCTGAACAAAGCTAAAATAGAAATAATAGAATTAGTTCATAATTATGAGATTTGAGGTACTTGGTAAAATATTTGTGTTTTTTAATTTTTAAGAAGACATTGTACCCAAGTGTTTCTCGTCTTACTAAAGCACAACATACGTTAAAAGTAAGTAGTTCCAATTTTGTTTTGATAGTTTCTAAACAACAAACTGATTGTTTGAATGTAATTCTTTGTGAGTGTTTCAATTTTATTGTTTAAAACTCTCAAGCTGGGTTGCATAAAAAAGGTTTACTAAAATTGAATAGGCCAATCATGTCCCACTAAATCATGTTTAAGTGACCATTAGCTCGCTATAATTAATTCGTTTGATGTTAGTGATGATTATGTAACCCACCAACAGACTGTCTGATATACCTACTTACCAGTGTTATATGGAGAGTTAAAACATTCTGGTAATATCGCTAATGTGCAGCCATTCAGTTTTGCTTGCTTCAAATGTTCCACTGCATTGGCCACATTTTTCAACTTATCAGCTGTGACATTCAACTGCAGTAAGGCGACTCGAAAACCTAAATCAAACACCATATATCATGCTACAAACAACAAGTACCCACGATGGCAAAATAGAATAATGTAATTTTACAATAATTACCACGAGAACTCGACGAAACCATTCTAATTTGAGTGAATAACGAGATTGACTGTTGCAATAGTTTTTGACCAGCAAACATTTATGAGCAAGTTATACACCGTTCACCAGTGCGGCAATGTATGCTGTGGTGTTAATTCTATATTTCTATCTGACTTATTTTCGATAAGTGGCTAACACCAATTTATTTTAATTTTACAGTTAGTTTAATTACTGTTATGAATCATAACTTAATACTTATAAGTTATGAATTAATGATATCAGATATTGCACTATTGCAGCAACACAGCTATTAAAGTCTTATAATTAAATAAACATATTAATTATTATTATGCATGCAACCGAGGAGTGACAAGAACGCCGGTGATAAGAAACTCAGCCGATTTGAAATTTAATTGCATAGGTATTATGTTTTATACTATGTTTATGGGAATAAATGTAGTTTACCACCCAATCGATTTTTTGGTAATTTTTTTTTTTAATGTGTTTTTGGCATGCTTAATTTGATGGTACTTTCAAAAAGTTGCTCAAACGTCCTTAATAAAGTTATGGTTAAAACATTTTAAATCCTCGATATTTTCAAAAATTGTGTTTTTTTAGTTTAAATGCCATAAATTTGTATTTTTGGAAATTTGTATTTTGGAATTGTTGGAATTTATATACTCAACATTTGGTGAAATCTGAATGTACCTGTCAGACGTAGGTACCATTTTTTTGTTATTGTTAATAAGCCACGTAAAACTTAATTTTGAAGTTGTTTCAAACATTTACATATTATTATTAATATATAACTTAAAAATTAGTAATATTAAATTGATTAATTTCATTATGTCGCTGGCCCTCATCGGGGGGGAGAGGCGGCCAAATAATCAATCTTGAGTTACTATAATATGCAAGTAAATAAATATACTTATAGTTCTATAGATACCTAATTAACATAAACAATTCCTAACCCAATCATAGCAAAATTACTAACATTCACTTAATAACCATTTCTTTCATATTTTTAGGATTTCGTGAACTAGAACATTATAATTTATGTAATATTATTATGGCGTAAAAGTAATTGTTTTAGGATCTCCCCCCCCCCTCTCAATAAAAATTTAACTCTGTATCCGCTCCTGGTTGTAATAAGTGTCTAATACCTATACATATTTCTTTTTTTTTTTTACAGTACTAGAAAAAAAGTTCTTGTCAAACGTACTGGCGGTTGATGACTCCGCCCACCACGAGGCGTTCAACATGTTGTACCGCCACCTGCATATTTTGAAAGCGCACACCCTTTGCGTATGAACGTTACCTAAACTACTTTTTCAATTTTATCAAATTCTCGAAGGAAATAAACATTTTTAATATTATCAATTTTTAAATTTTTAATATTAAATAGGTATACATATAAAAAATTAAAAAATATTGAATATTTGCTCCAGCCGATGCAAAGTAAGCTTCTTTATCAAATCCAAAAGATTTGCATTTTTAATCGAACCGCTATAGAAGTACTTTAATTATTGTCAGTCTCTAAGGTTTTTTTGGTGAAAAATTGTTAGGTTTTGCAGCAGGGGCCTTAATAATTATTTGATCGCTTTTTTATACATGTATATAAACGATAAACCACACGGAACTGAATCATTTTTAAATTGCCCATCATCAATACATACACAATAACTTATAAACGATTATTATTTATTTTATTTTAAAATGAATTACTTTAATTTTAGATGCACCGTGGCCCGGTTACGTAGTAAGTGTAGGTTTACGTATACTGCATAGTACTGCTCAAATTATGGTTTAGTATTTGTACATTGTAATTTGTTTGCCAAATTTTAATTTTAGACTTCCTACCTGAATTTCTGTAATATTGGGCTTACATATGTAAAATTTTTTTTTAAAACAAAATATGACTATGATAAAAGTTAGTTTTACTAAACTATTGTCTTATATTAAATAAATTATTGAGAGTTTCTTTGACTCGTTGCATCTATAATAATATAATTTGATTTTTGATTTCCTGCCATAACTAGTCTTACCACCGTTTGGAATCACACATTTAAACACTATATTTACTTAAAAAGTATGGCTTATAAGTTGTTCACAAAAATAAACAACCGCTCAGATCGTAAAAGAAAATTTTTAGAAACTGGAGCTCATTTTTTTTTCGCCACAGGAACGAGGAACGAGAATATGCTCTCTTTTTTAGAACAGGGAAGAGCAACGGCCGAACAGGAACATTTTCTTTCTTAAAAAGAACTTTTCCAATGCTGCTTAGACCTTAAACCTAAAGTAGGTATAGGCTGGCGTACGTTGTCAAGTTATCAATATAGACTTTATAATATATATACTATATATATTTAAGTACTAAGAGTTTTTGATTATGAGTTAAAACTGGAAAAGTTGTGTAGAATGTCTGAAGAATATGTATACAAAATAAAAGTTACCACCATATAATTGAGTGCAATATTATAATATGAATTGATATACAAAACCAGTTCAATCATTGATGCACTATTCAACTATTGTATAAAGATGCTAATATATATATATATATACATATCGTGCTAATATGTACATAGATATTAGGTACATCGTTATAGAATAGAATTTTATGACTAATCCCTTGGTTAAAAGTAGCTGTACCTACTATATTTGTTGATGTTATAAGTAGTACCTACTTACTAACTATTTTACTTTAACTATGATTTTAACATATTTAAGAGTTTCACAATGTCCATGTACATTAGTACATTACCCATGGGTTTGAATTTCATAATTTTCTTTAAATCTATATATTCAGTGTTGGTGTTAAAAGCTTAGACCTTATATGACTGAATCGCTAACTGCAGACACGGGACAAGTCCACTTTTCCTAATTTTTCAGGAATGATGAAAAACTAAACAACTTATGAAATGTTAATGTAAAAACTTCGAAATTTTAGACGATATTTTTAGTTAAATCACTTAAAAATTTCATTTAATTTGTAAAAAAAAAAATTTTTTTTTTTTTTTTGTAAAAAAAAAAATTTTTAACTTTTTTTTAATTAATAAATTTAAGTTATGGACATGTCTCCTTTTTGCTGAAAACATCGTTTTCATATCTTATTTATTGATGTAGGGAGAGAAACACTATCAAAATATGCAAAATATTGTTTTTATTCATCAATTTATTTTTACCAAATATAACTAATATATATTATGTTATTATTAAATATAAATATAAAATTATTTCTTACATTTTACAGTTTTTTTTTTTTGAACTACAACTTATAATTAAAATACATTAATGATATTATTTTTAATACATTTTTGTCATTATATTTTTAGTCTAATACATTTTCATCAGATTTTGAAGGCCATTCACTTATTGGTTTCCAAAATCCAATATACTCCTCCGGAATAAATTTCAATGTATTTTTGATATCTTCCAACTTTTTTTCGTTGATTGGCAACTTTCCGTTGTATGCTTTGTCGATTGGAAATAAAAAGCCCGTTGTGGAATTTCGAAGACGAAATGTATGTTCAACCAACGCATTTATAAATTCACGACATTTTATTTCGTTTTTATTGGAACATGAAACAGTGAGGTGATGAATGATGATATAAGATGATAAAGCAAATGATGATTTATTAGCTCTAGGCATATTTTCCCCATATGACTCGATATGAGGCATTACTTAAATATGTTTTTTTGTAATATGTTTTCCACCATTTTTTGTAGTCAATTATAAAGTTTTGATCAACTTTAACAACCGAAAATTTGTTAGGAATTTTCGAAGCTTTGGAAATTAAATTAATGTATTGGTCTATTGTGTATAGTCTTTCGTATTTTACTAGCGATCTTTTAATCAACCCAAAATCACGGTCACAAGGCATGAAAGAATGACCTCTCATTGGATATAAAACTTGCACTTCTTTAAATCTTTCGATTTCCACCAAACCCATTAAAAACCTAATAATTGCGTTGTTTTTGTTCTGACCTGCACAGTTATCACAAAAAATATAGAGGCGTTCAACTTCTTTGCCAATATCATTATTGATGTAATGATTTATAAATGATATGACGTTAGGTCCTTTACCAGCTTCCCCCTCATGATAAACGTATTAATAGTACATTAATAATTGGTTCCAATACAACTAAGATAAGATAAATTCAAAATAATTATATGTATAAGATGTTTACTGCAGAAATGGGACATGTCATGGACATGTTCTCTTTCTGCAGTAAAGTGAAATTTCCAAACACTATATTTAGCGTTTGGATAGTCGGATTTGACTCCTTTCTACAGTAAACGATGTATTTACGCGTGCTTAACGAAAAATGATAATAAAATCAAAATTGATAAAAATGTACTTGTCCCGTTTCTGCAGTTAGCGATTCGTATAGACATCTAACCTATATATCTATAGTTACAACTTAGTACTTAATATACATGCAGTAATATTGTTTCGTCTCATCGCCTACTCGCTTTACTTGTTTTTTTTACAATATTTCGTAGTTATTTAAGGTTAAGGTATTGATGCGTGTAGGTATCGACGTATTGTGTATTATAATACCTACCTATTTAACTATGTAATAGGTAGGTATACTTTTATAGTTTTACACTATAAAAATATAAATAATTAAACTATGGTATATGATTGTAATATAATATTTATATTTATAAATTTATAATTTACTATAGGTATCTGCTTTTATTTAAATGATTTATCAGTTTTACATTTTTTTCTTTTAATATCTTTATGATTAAAATAATTGCGGTGATCCGATTTCCAAAAATGCCATTTAGACTATATTAGGTATTTAAGTCTCAGTCAATCAATCAAAATGGTATTACTTTAAATTTTTTTTCACGTCAATTGTGTCGTATATGTCAGTTCTTCTCTGACTTCCAGTGGGTATTTGCTGTTTAATGTTTTCCCGAATCGTAAAATCTATACATTGTATGAATAACAACACGTTTAGTATAAAACTCATTTTTAAACAGAAAGGAAAGATCTGTTCAAGAAAATAAAAATCATGTTTACCAAGATCTACATATAAATCCATATCCTTTTCATCAGCTTCTTTAACAATTTTACCCCAGGGATCCACAACCATTGAATGTCCCCATGCCACGTAATTAGATTTAGTGTCCCTGGCCGGCGAAGCAGCAATCACGAATGTTTGATTTTCCAATGCTCGGAATCTAATTAATAAGCTCCAATGTGGTGGTCCAAGCTCCGTACAGAAAGCACCAGGGTATATCAACAAATCACATCCTTAAATCCAAAATATTTATAGCATAATATAATAATCATATATGTTTAATATTATGTTTTATTATTCCGTATTCGCGATGAATAAGGACAAACCTTGTTTTTGATACAACGCTGCCATTTCTGAAAATCTCATGTCATGACAAATACCCAATCCGACCTTAAATTTACCCATTTGGAACGTATTAAGTGTATTTCCTGCAGACATGGCATTAGATTCTTTGAAGCAAGTACTACCGGGGATATTTACATCAAATAAATGAACCTGTGAAGTTTGAATATATTTTTCGTAAATTAATTGCATCTTAATCTTTCCAGACATAAAGAATTGAAATAAATATAATATGTTCAATGTGACGTTCAAATAAAAGTTGAAACATATAACTATTATAAGGTATCTAAATATTTAAAACTTAAAATGCTAATAGTACTTTTCTATGTTTGGCTATTAGGTTTCCATTTGGATCCCAAACTGTGCACGTGTTGTAGACTTTGTTATCACATAACTCTGGGATTGAACCACCTACAACGTACATTTGGTTTGACTTGGCAGCTTGTGACAAAGCTTTACACGTTTCACCACCGGGAATGATTTCGGCGTATTTTCTAAACAAAGCTAAAAACAAATAATAATAATGGAATCAGATTAAAAATCTCCTACTGTAATCAACTAATTTTATAACAGTATGTGGCTGGTATATGCATTGGTATCATACGGGTATGTGCTTATGTATACCTACTTAAATCAATTATTTTAATCCACTAGAAAATCATTTAATATATATATGCAGGATATTATGAATGGCGCCAACGTAATTGATAATTTATACAACTATATTACTTTATGTATATTGTATATATATATACATATATTGCCTCGCAGACTGCAGTTGGTTGGTGTATGCTGTAGTTGTATTTTTAGTTGTTAGTAGGTACTAGGTACATATTTTCTACAGATTTAACTATTGTATAAGTACTGTATAGTGTATAATTATAAAAACTTAACATGGTATAACAATTGTATACGTTTTCTAAAAAAAAAAAAACACTAAACATTTTTAAAAATGTAATTAAATAATAGATATTAAACGTATTTGTAAACGCTATATTTAATTTATGACTTATGTAAATGTTTTAAATCTGAACACAATTTATAATTAAAATTTCATTCCAAATAATTCATTCATTAAATAATGTCGATAGACGATAACTGTATTTTATCTAATTTTACCATTATCGTATGGTGTAGTGAAACATTCTGGTAGTACGGCTAATGTGCAGCCATTCAACTTTGCTTGCTGTATACGTTTCACAGCGATGGCTATGTTCGTTGATTTGTCGGCAGACACGGACAACTGCAATACGGCCGCCCGAATATCTAATAGGTAATATTTGAATATTAACAATGTTACTAATATTATGTTAAATAGAAATATATGTATAAATAAAATATATTGTAATTTGTAATATTCTATTTTTATTTTTTTATTTATGTATTCCGTATCTCACCTGAAGAACTCGGAGAAGTCATTTTCACTTCCGCAAGAACGCGATTGACTGATCTAATATTAAGGTACTACTACTGAACTAATATTATATCTTTGATAATATCAAGCATTTATATAGGGCGAGTGTTACACTTTAAAAGATTCACCTGCAGAGTTCAATTCTGGTATCTATAAGTCCATTTTAAGCAGCGATAAGCATTAAAGCATTGCAACCATTTTAACAGGCCAACAGTCATTATATTATAATGATACTGCCTATTTCTGTTGTTTTTATTGTTTGTGTTATGATTATGAAAGCAGCAGCACGGGGAGCGGAAATATTACACACGAGTCTGATAAGAAATTCAATTATAATAATTTTATATACTCATACTTACCTAATTAAATTAATCAAAAAAAACCATATAGGTACTATAAGATTAATTTAGGTACTGAAGTTACTTATCAGTCACCAAGTATGATTTGTGGTAATTGACGAAAAGAAAAGTACCCTTATATGCATATTATCTAATAAAATATAAAAATATGTAATTGTTTAAATATATAATAGTGTCCTAATATTAGACATTTGTCTTCATAAACTAATATCTAATAAAATATGCATTATTTAAGCATTTTACTTCTTAACTGTTAAATATAAGTATAATGAAGTACCTATACATATAGATTACAGATATATTATAGAAATAGATCGATAATTTATTATTTTTCTTGACTACTGTAAGTATTGCCTACATGGTAATACCTAAGAACAATACGTAGGCAAGAATTTTTTTTATAAGGAATTTAAAATTAAAATTTATTGATATTTTAAGTTCAAATTTTGACAAAATTAGATACTTAACAAAGATTAACAATTTTAGCAATTTAATAATTTTATTCGTGAATATTTGAAACTTTTAAAGTGAATTGTATTCTATCATATTTCAAATACACACAATAACATTTTCAAATGCAATGTTTCCGGCAAAAATTAATTCAACCTCTGTTGTTGTACTAATTGTAAAATATATTATTTTAATAGCAATAATATCATAAACTATACTTATAATAATATAGACTAGACAGTCTTCGCTCAGAATCGTTTTACGTATTCAATGATTTTATATCATCGAATTCATATATTTAAAAAACCTATTACAGTGACCTATACGGCTATATTATATACACGAAATCTAATGTACAATAGAGTGGTACCCACTTGCCCACTTTTTTTCGTATTATACAATATTCAGTGTTTATGAATTAATAATTCACTATACACAATATAATTTAACTACTATTATATGTAATGTCGTGTTTATGATCTTATTGAAAAATTAAGAGCTGATGGTGGATAAATGTGAATTATAGTTACTTTTATAACACATCGTTAAACGCCGCATGCCTATTAAAAGTTCATATAATAGTAGGTACCTATTCGGATGGGTGAACCTTTTCTCAACATGGCATGCTATATATACCTTTTGGCTAATACTTATTAAGACATTTAGAAAAAATGGTTTTAGTAGTTCACAACGTTATAGCTACTAAAAACTCATTGGGTATAAAATTGCGATTGCGTTATTATTACCAATATATCATACGAATATAATATTTTATTAATAAATGCGCCATTAAGCATAGGCACCAGAAATTACCATCACAGCAAAAAAACTTTAACTTTTAAACCTTTTTAAATCTTCCCAGTCAAACGAACTTTTTTTTTCATTTTGAATTTCTTGGTACTTCGATGAACCTTTTTTTGAATAGACGTACAACGCCGAAGTGCCGATATCTTACGAGTCATCATTAATAAGTGTAAAATTGTCCATAAATAAATACACCTATACATTTTATTAAATTGTTTAGACTTTAGGTTATACACATATATACCAGTATAATACATTTTAAAATTGTATTATTTGTGCACATTTTAATAAACAATTAAATAATTATGAAATACGAATAGGTAATTATTAATTGCAGAATTCCATAGATTCGGAAACGTATATATATTTAAATATTTTAAGGCTTAAGACACTCCTTAATTTTAACGTAAAGTAGATTCTAGATAATTCAGAGGTCTAGGGGATAATAAAAACTATCAAACTATCGAGGGTTAAAAGTTTTCAAATAAAACATGAGTTTCATGAGGCCTCTTTTTTTCAAAATGTTGAGAATAACGGGTTATCAAACATCTAATTAACAAATGTATAGTCTATAATTTAATAGAATTGTTGTTGTTGTTGAAAATGTGTGTTGTAAACAATTTTCAGGTAATATTAAGTTTATCAAGTATTGACATGTTTGTTACAGGTCATCAAAACAATATATTATTAAGTATTAACTTACTGATTAATGATTATCCATACCGACTGGTGGCTATCGTAACATCCTTAGCGAACTAATTAGTGATTATATACCCAATTAATAACAAAGTATGTCATGTGGTAAAAAATGTTATCTAAAGGTATAAACAGAATAAATATACTAAATATAACTTTAGAGTGTGATAATTGTATAGCTGTTTTGTTCTACTTCTGTTTGTGGTTAATAGTTTCGTGGTAAATGTCATCGCCAAAACACTTGCTGTAAACGGTTTAAAATTGATTGAACCCATCTACATGTCATGTATTTTTGTATAACTAATGTACAAGGTAATTATTTTATCAGTAAATACTGATAATTCTGAAAAGTAGGTATTAAAAATGTATACAATTTATTTTTACATAATTTTAACTTCTAAGTTATTATTACACTACACAGTGCTTATGAACTTCGTGGTTATCAATCATTCTATGAACTTTTAAAAAAATCCACCAATATGTGATAGAAAATATGTACTGTAGGTAATAGAGAATCTATTGGAAAAAAACTTCGAGAAAAAATCTCCAGAAAAAAGTCCCTTATAGTAAATAATTATTAAATAAATTGATCTTTAATATCAATATTAGATATATTTATTTGAATTACATTGTCGATTGTTAATAATTTTCAAGATTTTAAAAGTACCTATAATAATTAAAGGTAAATTCTGTATAGGTTATACATTTTTTTGAATTACAACAAATTAATTTAAATTATTATTTTTCGTAAAAATATTTGATTGCAAACAAAGACATATAGTAAATTAATTTGGCTTTAACAATACTTTTTTTAGTTTTAGTGAGAAAAACTTATGATGAGATAATGTGTCAACAATTATTCTGGTTTTAAATCTGTAATCGTATTGTGACCGATCATGAGGTTATATAAACAAATTACATATATTTATTAACGATATGTTTTATGTGTATAAAAATAACTTGTGAGGAACCTTGTTTTAAATTTGTACAATCCATAACTACGTATTAAAATTGAAAATATAGTTTTTGTCAAAAGTTTAATTTATATATTATATGAATATAAAAAAAATGAAGCCTGTTGATTTTAAATATTATTATTAATATAATATTTATTTATTTTTAATATTATTATATTCTTGTTTAAATAAGAACAATTTGTAATAAGGGATCTTGTACATATTTTTAAGCTGTTTGACCTTCGAGTATTAACATTTTTATCAAAAATAGTTTGAAATGTTTAATCCTAACGATTTTGTAACTGATCAATTAATTTGATTGCACAACTATGTTTTTTTAAATAATATTTACAGGTTAGGTGGGCTATTTTTTTAGGTTTTTTTTATTTGTTAAAAATCTATGGATTTCTCTATGAAGACTTAATGAAATGAATACAGTATTTTGTGGTATTTAGATTACATTGGTTGTATGTTGAACAATTTTTATGCCATTTTGTCAAAGCCATGCTAGAACATGAACAACATTCTTGCGGATTTAGTTTTAGAAGACTAATTCCAGTAACATTTATGATCATATTTGTACGAATAAAACCAATAAAATATGCTGTAAATAAATAAACGTATACTATTTCGTAGGTAATGGTGTTCAAGTTAATGTATTAGAGTTGGTGCTATTCCAATACAGCTAGCTAAAATGTAGAAATATTTTATTTATATGTTTAGGTGACAAAAGGCGGAAGACAAAAATTTGACAGTGTGAAGTCATTGTTAAATTCTACTCCCATCTTGTTTTGTATGAAAGCATCAAAGTCTGGGCCAAAATGTAAGTTCAGTACCTACAGCAATTGTAAATTTACTTTAAGAAATTAGTGCCGAATTTAGTATATTTGATATACTGCCAGGTCAAGTTGTTCGAAAAAAATTATAAGCATATCCCAATTGACCATTCACAGGTATATTAATTGAAGTTTTGTAAAGTAAGTATTGTAATATTATATTACAAAATATGTGTTTTTATAGCTTTATATCAATGGTGAATTATTAACATCAATATCTTATTAATATAAAAAATCTAACCTAGAGATATAATTTTGAATACCATTCTCGGTTAAAGAATTTGGAGATTTTAGATTTCAGTCTCCAGTATTTTCTAAATTTTTTTTTGAATTCTTAAAATTCATTTGCCCGTAGGCGCTCACGTCCCCCTTCACAGTTTTTTCATTTATTTTAATGTAATTAATTTTTTTGTATACATTTTTTAAACTTTGATAACCAGTCGGTGCCCTCTAAAATAATCAATGTTTAATGAGCTAATTATTTTGAATACTATTTTCAGTTTAAGTATTTGGAGATTGTAGACTGCAGTCTTTAGAGTGTGTCCTAATAACTTGACTATATAATAGTTTGGTAAATCTGAACAACCTTATAGCGATCTCGGAAGCAATTTTAAAATACCGTCAATCCTTCTATTTTTATATTATAAATAACTGTTTTGTTTTTTCCTTGTATATATTTAAGTACAATACACAGTATACGATATATGTATAATTTTTTATTACCGCCATATACGTTTACTCGTATATAATATACGAACAATATAGGATGTGGACGTCAACATTAAGAAAGTCATCATTCAATAAATCGAAGAATCAAGATCATCCGTTGGATCACAAGGTACCTATATATACATTAAAGCCATGTGATGTGAAAGTTAAATATCCACTAGTATATGAACTGCGAAGACGACAAAACTGAGAGCAGCTTCTGATGAGGATATCTGAGATGTATGTACGTGACAGAAGATTGCTATATGACTGTCGAAGAGAAAGTGTCATACTACGAGACCGGCAAATACAAGTTAAGCATACTAATCCCTCCTACTTGTATAAGCACGATAAAACAATTCGAAAAAATACAAAAAATAGAGTAAGGACAAAGGTCAAAACACATAAACGGATTATTTATAAACAATATACATATTATGTAAAAAGAACAAAACAAAACACGTTAAATGTTAATACTTTAGCAGATAGGTCTTAGAATAACAACATTCGATATGAAACATAATATATAAGGAATAAGGATATATTATTATATAGGAGTATAGGACCTATATATAAAGGCACCAATGGTGAAATATCTTCACGGCCTCAAGCGTGTAATATAATAGTGGAAACCTAAATATATTATAAAAATTAAAAATTGATAATATTACAAACATAGAATGCAATGCACAAACGGTGAACTATACTAAAACGATAATTAGGTATGCATTAGAAAACTTGTGAAGATTTAACAAGTAAAGTATTATTTCATTCTTCAAAAAACCATGGTATCTGAGCACAAAAAGGATATTTCGGTATTAATGAATTCCCAACGTAATTATTTCGATAGAAACCCCCATTAATTTAACGAAATAAATTATCTTTCTATTATATATTATTATTTACTAATTACATAATAAGTAGACCAGAAGTGTATCATTTAAGATTAGTAATTACGACAATACTTTATTTTCATAAACACAATTTTGTCTAAAAATGTACTTGCCTTTAACAAAATGATGACAAATAATACCAATAGTTACAATTTAAAGATAGATAATACTAAATAATACATACAATAAAGTGAAAACATAATTGTTTGAGATGATAGGAGTATTAGAAATATTTTTTCTATTTTTGCAAAAAAATCACCTAAATAATTTTTTTTTTTAATTGAGCATTACTATTTAACTATTATAGCTCAACAGTTACAACTAACATAGATAAATTATATTACCGAAAAACGATCATAATATTATAAAAAATAAAGAAAAAGTTTTTATTTTCTTGAACAAATGCATGAGTAGTATTAATACCTAGGCACCAAAACATTTATTTTGCGTTTATATTGTTACAATATTTGTTGGGTAGTACATCTTAAAAGAAATTTGAGTAGATTTAGCTATGAACAATTAGATAAAATGATAGCTATTATACCTAACATAAAAATTATATTCAACCTACAATCCAACCTACATTATTCATTTTATTCACTGTTTCGGAACTTTTATTCGTCTTAAGACTCGCTTATAGGCATACGATTTCTCTTCTATTCTATATAAGTAAATCATATATTCATTATATACCTACCTATGTTATATATAGTTATTTAGTATATACGGTTCTTATTTCCGTTCTTTAAAAACGTCTTCAATAGGTTAGGGTTTTTGTTCGATATTTTCAATGAAGTTATTTTTTGTGTGTAAGACCATTAAGACGAAAAAAAGTATTCAATTTTTATATGAACCATTGAACCACGATCCGTTGGTTTGTGCACCTATACATAATTGCACATACCGCATTAATTATATATTTTTTAATATTAGTTAAACAGTGCCGGGTGCTTATTATACAGATATAATATATTATTAAATGGACTGCAAATGACAATTTAAGTTTGTGGTATAATTTAACATTAAAATTTAAACCTTTGCAAGTCGTCACCAATATCTTTAACGAGTTAAATTTAGTCCTAAACCTTCTCCTAGCTACTCTAACATGCCTAGTAAACAAAATATGTAAATATTAAAATATTATTGTAACCACATTACTTCTGTTCATCTAAAATTACCAATTGTCAATTATCCATAGTACTTACAAATATTTTTAATTATCACGTTAATCTGTTAAAACTAATATGTAAATTGTCAAAAGTCACTAGATTTAGGTAGCCTCAGGCTAGGAATGTCTTTTAAATAATAAAAAAAAAACATTACAATTTTTTAATCATTTTGTTTAGAAATACAGTTATTTATATGATTTTCAGTTTGCATAACTCAATATAAACGCCATGTATTCATTTTAAACCCGTAATAAAAATACACACTTTATTTGCAAGATCATTAAAATATACACGTTAGATTAATATTATAATGAGGTTCTAAAAATTCTGAAAATAGTATTGAACCTATAATTTCTTTAATAAAATTAATATTGCAAATTCAAATACAAGTATACTTTAATCATTTCATTTTGCAATTTTTTCATAGGAAGTTAGTGGATTTGAGTACTTACATTAAAAATATAAAATAAATAATTGTTTATTTCATAAGGTTATTGACATTCCTTATTATTTGTATACATAATTATAGTATTGTGGTATAAACATTAAGTTGCGATACCTAGGTTTTCTATTAAAAAAATATATCTATTATTGATTATCCGTATGTATAAAACATATGTGTTTACACATAAAGTTGAGTAAGATTACAATATTAATTTCATTCAACGCCTTGTTTGGATAAATGTTTATTGGGACGCAGTGGGATTGCAGCTGCAGGTACGTGATGTGTATAATATTAAAAATATACTATGATATTATTCAAAAATATTGATTATATGCGTTATTTATCAATTATTGTACCTATAGACATTTTTTCTCTAAATCATTTGAGTCTCTTTATTAAAATTTATATATAGACTGTGCGGGCTTGTTTCATTGACAAACTTTTAATTCATAATCATATATTTCCCTTTTTATTGTAGGTATTTAGCTATTGTAGCTATTGTAAAATTTAGTTTCTAAACTCTTCAATTTGTAGAAAATAAATTATATTACACATTTTAATAGTATACAAAAGTATTATCATTATGTACTATCATCGAATGTTGAGAATCCATGTAAGACTGTCGGACATACCTTGCGTTCCGAAGCCCCACCACAAACTGTTTGATTTTCGTGTTCACAACATGATTCTAGGTCAAAAATGTATCGATACCCTTGACACTCCCGAGTACCTGCCGATTTTCAAGTCTTCTATTGTATACAATCTTGACTCTTGTCTTTTAGTATAGGTGTAATGTACATTTAAGTGAATAATTAAATATTTTGTTATTAAGCGTTATCTGCAAGTTGTAGTATTAATATCATTTATTTTATATATTGTTGATATACATAATCAAGATTCAAAATCTATTGATAAATTAATTATTATTTTAAAATTTATAAGTTATTACAACAAAGATGTTTATTCTTACAAAAAATATCTTTGACTTGATTGATTATTAATAACATTTGATAACTTACCTATATTCATTGGTTTATATAGTTTAGATAACACCTATACATCGTATAATATTAATAATTTATACTTTATATGTAGGTACCTACCTAGAATATTTAAGTTTTTTTTACAAATATTCAATGTATACCTATAGGATTTGCTGAGTTTTTATGTGTCAGGCGTGGCATCCTTACGTGACGTAGGTGGAAAGTATAGGTATTCACAAGTCACAAACGACCGACATATGTATCTTATCAGTTTGTCTTTACGTATATAATATAAATAATATGCACATTACTGTGGTATACCATATACGTGTGCATAACTATTTTATTACTGCATGCAGCAAGACAAATTTCAGTTGAATATTGACTCTCTTTTTTTAATTCGAGTCTGAAATATTGTAGAACATATTATATACTATACATAATATATTGATTTAAATTTTATAAAACCATTGATACATAGATAAAAACAATTAAGCTATACACCTCAAGAGTCACAGCCCAGGGGTCAGATTTGTAATTGGTATGCCTATACTTATATAGTTAAATGCAACAGCGCATAGCTATTTACGCTATTATTTTGGCTTCAGTGTGTTTAGCTCCTACACCCCACCGAACAGTCTCCACCATACATTACTCAGTAGAAAATCATAAAGCCATAAAGGATAACATCATTAAACTCTTGGTTAGAATAATTTAGTTCGGCATACGTTGTTTAAGTACATTCGTATTCACTTCAAATAAATGTATTGCCCAAGGCTGGACTTTCAGTGGTTCACTAGATCGCAATCTCATTGCATTAAATCATTTTTTTTTCATAAAATAATATTAGGTATATACTTAGTAATTATATAATATTAATAAATAATAATAATATTATTTTAGTTAAAAATAAATTTTTCAGATTTAATGATACAGCCTGCATAATATTATAGGTATGTACCATAACAAATAACAATATAAATACCGATTTACTTAAAATTATCAAATTGATTACTGATTAGCGTTACTTACTGTATTGCCTATTGATTATAGGAACTTAAAAAAGTTTTTGGCACCTATTATTTGGGCTAATATTCAGGGTCCTTCTAATAAATTATTATTTACTCATATATAGGTATTAATTATTATGCATAATGCATTTCCATTTTTTTTATTGTTTACTATAATATGATTATTGTATAACATTTTGTATCTTTAAATAATGTAAGTAGCTATAAGTGTATAACCAGCTATAGCGTTGTATATATTACAACCAGTAATTAGAAAATAGATATGTATAAGTATAGATAACGCATTTAACTATTTACCTAAGTGTTTATTTAATATTCAGCATATTTTGTGAAACATTTTTTTATTAGACATCATTTTCCTTTATAACATTATGTATCTTTATATAGCTAAGGATGTACTCATGTACTTGAGTATTTTAAAATATTTTCATCGAGTAAAGTTATTTAATGTTCCGAGTCTTAAAAATGCACTCACAAACAAATTTTAAGTCGTATTTGGCAACATGCCTAAATTATATCGAAAAAGATATTTTTGTTTTATTTCGTTGGACTAATGTTAGTTTATGTAATTTTTTAATATTTGGAACATACTTATACAATTATTATAGTTGCACTCATTTATAGGATACGCATGTTCATGAATAGTTGCGCCTATGGTTTTAACTTATAAAAGTATTAGGCATATATTATGTATTGTATTTTCATACCATGAGTATTACACGAATTATGAATGGTAGTCATGCACATCCACGAGTCATAGTATTATAGTAATCATTATTGTCCATGTAGTTATTTACTATTATTTTTTATACATATTAAATATATTGATTTCATTGACACTTCAAAGGGTTCGAGTTGTGACAAATTGCCCCTTCCCCTCCCAGGCCGGTTCATCACTGCCGGGTGCACTAACATTTTAGAATATGAACAGAGATATAACCTCTATTTAATACATATACATATAATATATATTTATACACAATACACTACCCATATACACTCTTGTCTCTTGCTCACTTGTACATATTAATAATATTTATATTTTTGTCATCAAGCTAAGTAGGTACTTAAACCAAATATTTATTATAGTAAATACTATTCGGGAAAATATTTATGTGGTGTCATAAAAATAATTTTGACCATTTGATATGCTCCTATAGCAAAAAATCGTAATGGTTTGAACGATTGCAGGTATGCTATACGCTTATACTTGTCACTTGTATAAGTGGATCTGAAGATGAATTTCTACGAATATAATATATTATTAGTTATGTCTCTATAACTGCAGCGAACCATCGTCGTGACCATATTGTTTATTATTATGGGACGTTAACAACGTTCGGGTAATATTGTAATATTTTAATAAATAAATATTCTCAACCGCCAACGTCGGACATTTCTGCTACGTATATGGCATTACGATACCTAATATTAATATTATTACCTATTATTTCATAATATAATCGTTTTAACCAACACGGACGAGTGACGTCGACGGACGATGGCGAGCGGATGAGGCACCTACCTATTTATACGTATAATATTATTCTAAATTCGTATACACGACGTTGACGCTGCCACAATGAATCACTATAAAATCATCATTCATCATCAATAATAATAATAATAATACTACTAATAATAATAATAATAATAATAATAATAACAATAGTAATAGTAATAGTAGTAATAGTAGTAATAATAGTAATAATAATAATAATAATAATAATAAAAAAAAAAAAAAANAATAATAATAATAATAATAATAACAACATCAACAACAACAACATAACAACCGGGTTAAATATTACCATAGAACAATAATATTACCGTACCGGTCGCCCGGTATTATTGTGCTGGTCGTACGGTTTTTATTGGTATTGTTATAGAGATTTTGGGCCGGGGGGGAGGACTCTACTGCGGATCCGTCGCGAAAGGTGATAAACTATGATTACGTTATCATATTTATGGTTCGTCTCGAGTAGACTCACGTCGTGTCGTTACGTTACCATTGGCGAACCGCGGCAGTGAGTTTTCTAATTTATGGCGTTTGCGATGTGCTTTCGTTGCCACCGTTAACCGACAAAATCTTCCGCAGAACACATCCGATACCCGTAACATACTTAGAGGCCGCTGGACGGATTTTTCGTGATGCGTCGGGTGTCGTGTCCCGAATCGTCTGATGGCGAAAAGAGAAGTCGAGCGTACAGCAACAATAACCGTCGTCCGGGAACATTCTAGGGCACTCCGCAAAGGCACAGTGATCGCCAATACCGTCGTCCGTCACTGGTGAGTGCAATAATGTTGTCCTTGTTTTTTTCAAAGAAATGGTATACACCAGACACACCAGTCAGCTGGGTAGCTGCTTACGGTGCTTGCCAGACCATTCTGTGCCTTGCCATGGCTTAATAAATAGTTATTCAGCCATGTTCATGTGTCCTACATATCGGCTGGTTTTGGAGGACACGTTGTTTGTTGACAAATCTGAGGAAAAGTTATACTACTTGATACAACTTTAACTTGTTGAATTTCTGTTTGGAATCGATGAACACAAAAAATGTAATTGTTTTCATGTTAATTTATAGAAATTGTCTTCTACTATGCCTTTCAAATTGCGTCTAAAAAAGAGTCGACAGTACAATGTCGTCTCCAAATCTCTGTACGTTATTTGTGTCGAACTCCTGGACAGCACATCTATAGAATGTACCCTATCGGCAGAGAGCGTTGGACAAGAATGCCTAGACAGCGTATGCCAAAGACTTGGATTGCATCAGGTTATTGTTTAGGTCCTTAATATTATTCAATTTTTGTGATTTTAATGTGTTTTTAATTTATTTATAGCCGGAGATTCTAGGGCTGCGCTACATATCTCGGTCTAGAAATCCGCGATGGGTTGATTTAAGTAGACCATTAAAAAGGCAGTTGGACAAATACGCTTGTCATTTTAGCTTGTATTTGAGAGTCATGTACTTTATTTCAAATGTATCTTTTATAAAGGACGAAATGACTAGGTTAGTATTTAATTTTCATGTTTAAAACATATGTTTAACACAATATTGTAATTAATACGATATATGGTACCTAAAATTGAATAGTATAAAAATCATCTTTGTACGGCTATTATTATTAATTTTAAAGGAATTTTACATTTTATAACCGGATAACTTTCAATTTCCAATACACAGTATAACATTTTTTTTCATTTGTATTGTGTATGACATTCTCAGTCTGGTTTATCAAATATATATATATTATTATTTAGGTATTATGTTAACCCTTTGGTGAGCATTGACATAATATTTATATTACATACTATGTAATTTTAATTTTTAGGGTTTTACCTTATGAACAATATAAACCATTTAGAACTAATTTAAATGTCATCGATAAAGATTTGGTGATTAAAGTTAGACGTAATTATATATTTGCACTGAAATTAATAATAACTTTTTTAAATTTTCCATTCCTCATTGGCTCTCTGAGTAATGCTATGTGTTCTTAATTCACTCCTTAAAGGGTTAATGACGATACATCATAAAACTATGTATATGTTAATTTATTGTGAAGGATAATTTACATTTATTGGTTACTAATAAGAATATAAAATGGAAATAAAACAATTCCATTCATTCAAAGAACAGTATTAAATATGTATAGTTTAACTTTAAAAATATCCTAGCAAAGCGAATCTAACAATATTAGCATAAACATAGATTTGTTGTTTGTTTTGTATTTGCTACTAGTCGAATGTTTGTGTTGAAACCAGCATTAAATATCAGAATTAATATAACTATTTACATTATCCATCTAGACTATTTTTATTTATTTTTTTGGATCGGGATAACATTTGATATAAATGAATGAAAATTTGAATATTGTTATACATCAGTGAACTTTTAGGATTTTTTTAATGAAAGGAGTTGGATAAATTGGAATATTGATTTCAAAGTTGACCATGTGGGGTTTTAATCTGTTAACTCGTACTCATAACAATAACAATAAAATATACATTATACCTCAAAAATATAATATATTTGAAAACTATTTTAATTGTTATTTATAGTTTATTTATTTTTCTTGGTTTTAAATACATAACTTCAGGATGAATAACCATTTCATTATGAATGATCAACAATATAAATCTATTGAGATAGTTCTAAAAAATTACATTAAATCAGCAAAAATAATCAGACATAAGTAAATTTACTTCTTACTTCAGTTATCGTGTCTCTATTAAATAGGTTTTCGGTTTTTTTTTATACACGCAAATGTTCTCTCAGGATTTGATGTAAGAGCAGTGGCTGAACAATATTTTAAGTAATTAGTAAATATTATGAAAACTAGAAAATATGACATCTATGATGTGGGTGGTATTATAGCCATTGATCAATGTCATACATGTTACTAAGATTTTATTATATTTTAGGACCTGTACAAAATTTGAAAATTGTTATTTTAAGTCTACTGCAAGTTTAAATTAAGTTCATAGACACCATTTTAAACTAAAATTAATATATTTTTAATAACTGTTGAATATTACTAATATCGCAGGAAAGTTATTAAATAGATTAAAATGATCTGAAATATGAATTTAGATTAAACATTTGATATGTCGAAAAAAATCTTGGTCTTGGCTTTAATTGGGATTAATTTCAATGATTATTTAGTGTTAGTTAAATGCATTTAGATTATAATTTATTACACCTTGCATATTATTAACTCTATTTTTATCAAATGTATTTTGATTCTAAGTATTATTTATCTGACCACAATGTTCAAGAACAATTGTTTTTTATAATCTATTTTTGATATATTATGAGCTCTTTGATATTTATTCTTTTATGGTAGCAGAAATAAATAACAATATACAACAAACACTTTATTCTTTAGATAAAATTGTACGCATTTATATATGGTTATTTCATATTTTAGGTACTTGTAAGTTGTAGTTCAATATACTTGAAATAATGTGACTATCTATAATGTTATTTATGAGACATGCACTTAAAAAATACTAAATGTTCCCCACTATAAAGATAATTAATATTCTGAGTTCTGATAAATTAAGACTCAAACCCAAATAAATATTCAAATATGCATTTATAGTCATGAAATTGTATCTTATCATTTTATAAAATCATCAAAAATCAACACCCATATCAAATTTAGTTTTAACTTTTATTTCATTGGTATAGGGTTAATAGTTGACTTATAAAATTTTAATCTAATCTATTAATTTATTTTCATTATAATTTAATGCTTGAATTGAAATTGGAAAATAAATAATCAATATTTAATATGTCTATGTTACGGAAAATGTATGTGTGTACCAGGTCAATTTGAACTGCAAATACAAACAAATTATTTTTTGTGCAATATTTTCTATTAAATTTATTATTTCTAATAATACTATATAATACTGATAGAAAAACAAAAAAAATATATTTAGTATTCATTTTAATTTTATTATTACCTATTTATTAAATTCTGAATATTTTTAAATAATTATAATAATTATATACCTAATGGCTAATATTGAAAACACCACGCCACTAGAAATAAATAAAATAAATAAATAAGTTAGGATATGAAGATTATTTTGAATTGTATTATTACTTATTTATTCGTACCTACACAATTCCATATAGTGACATTTAAAATTGAAAAGGCTGTCTGCTTTCCTACACTTGCATTTACTTATTTTACAAAGCTGTGGAAGTGTATCAATCATCTGGCAATATTCGACATATAATTACTATCATTATTAAATTTGTTTTAAAATATTCAGAATATAATAAATGGGTAATAATGTAATTATAGTTAGTACAAAACTTATTTTTTTCATCAATATTATATAATTGTTATTAATAATAGATAGACAAAAATACTGCATAACAAATAAATAGGTTATATTTGGGGTTCAAATTGCCCAGACAGGAAGAAATTGATCAAGCAATGTGTACACTTGGTATATAATATATTAAGTATGAAGAATAAAAATCTGTTATACATTGATAGTTAAATAATAATAACAAAAAAAGGTTGATTATGCTAGATATTTAGACATCGTAAATTTTCACTTTAAAATATACAAAGCTATAAAGTATCTATTATTATACTAAAAATTTAACCAAATTTATAAAATTAATACACTTAGCAATTCTTGTGGAAAGCGTAAATTAGTTTTTCTCTTGCCATAATGTGGAACAGTCATATATTAGTCTCGGTCTTTAGCATGACTGTTAATAATTCATGGTGTCATTTAAAATGTTTATGAACTAATTTTGTACTGAATAGTTTCAAAATTGTAAAATTGTTTAGTTATCATGCCTTATATTTTTATCATTATTAACATGCTGGTATATAAAATTAAGATTCTGAGTGAAGTGATGAATGTATTGATTTTACAATGATGCGTGTTTTTTAATTTTTTTTTGTGTCTGTGTATACGATAAGTAGTCAAAACACTGCTTTGATTATTAACTTCAGTATCTTTTTCCTTGGGAAAGTGAATCTAGTTGGTGTGTTTGGGAGGTCATTTTTAATGTTGGTAAAAATCACGAAAATTTGTAAATTATATTGTGTGAGAAATTTATAAACAATTTTCTATTTTTATCTAGGTTTTGAAAATCCCCCTTAAATATTCTTCCTACATCTAGCAAAAGAAAAAAAAAAATACTGGAAAGTCAAATAAAGTTTTTACGAGTAAAGTGTTTGAAGTTAGACATTGAATTCATCTGCAAATTTACAATTTTTTTATTTCGTTGTTTTTCAAAAAGTATAAACTTTAGTTACTTGACATTTTCATCAAATTAGTATTTCGTAATTTTTTACACGTGATACTTTTTAAAAATATTTTGACTTGTTTGGAGTTATTTATAGAGATTTTCAATTTTTATTTTATTTAGTTTTGTATTCTATAAATGTTAATGAAATTTTATTCATTTTGTCAAAAAGTTTGAAAATGTAATATAAGGCTCCTGATATATTGTTACCATAGAAGTTGAAAAATATTAAGAATACATAGGCACAATTTTTTTTTTAAAGCATTTAAAGTTACATTTTTGACAAAATCGATTAAATTCAAATTTGATAAATTATTTTTTAGTTCAAAATGTATAAAATGTTCAACTTTTATAGCTAAGGAATGAAAATTTAAACTAAGGTCGCATGCAAGTATTTAATTCTGTTCTATAAAATCTAAAAAATATGTATACACAGTTTATTTTTAAAGACATTTTAAGTTCAAATTCGGACGAAATTACATATTTAAACCAAGAATAAAGATTTTAGTTATTTTGATGTAATTTAAAAATATTATAAGTGTTTACCAACTTTCAGAGTATTTATTTTATTTTATTTTATACACTTCTTTTTGAGTACATCTTCCAAAAATGGAAGTTATGTGAGATTTTAATTGACATTGACGACAATCCTTTTCCAGCACTTTCAATTTTCTGCCAACCTAATGGCGTCCTCCAGGGAATGGTCAGCAATGGTCTTTATCTGGTCTATTCAACTCATTGATGTTCTACCGCGACTCCTTTTCCCTTAATTTTAAACACACAATGACATTTTAAAATGTAATTTTTTTGACAAAAATAAATTTAACTTACTATTTTAGTACTAATGAGAAATGACAATTATATAGTGTTCTGAAATAAATTACTTAAATCACAATAATATCATAAAATATACCTATTTAGTAATATTATAGGCTGACAGACCGTCTTTGGTCAGAATCATTTTTTTTGTGTAGAATGATTTTATATCATTGAATTCAAATTTAACACATCCATTGCAGTGACTCTCTAGATACCTAATGAATAGCAGTTTGACATCCACTTACTCGCTTTTTTAAGTTGCATCCATAGTAATCATTTTTCTCAACAGGTAATTCTTTACTTGATTTATAAATTAAATTTGTTTATATCAGTGTTATACCTATATTAATTGTAATTTGATGTCAGTTATATTATGTGAATTTTGTAATTTTGTGAATACTAAATAAAAGAAAAAAATAATCTAAAATTTATGTATAGATAAGCAAGGGAACATGTTCCACTCTCCCTATTAAATAATTTTAACAAAATATTAATGATTATTTCAATAGATGCATATGTCGCTTAATTAGTTTATAGTTGTACACTGATCTAGTTGCAATAGTCTAACTATTATTGTTTTGATGATTATATTTTACCCAAACAGTATGAAATAAATTGGAATGCTAATTTGCTGTGTTAGTAATAAATAATTATCATATGTATTTACCTATTTTATTTTTATGTCTAGCTTTGGAAATGTATAAAAAAAATTGTATTTATACACAATAAATATTTGATATGCATATTATGTTTGAAATTAAGAAATTCATCTTTATACATGCAATATGTCTACTGTTGTTAACTCATAGTAAATCATTTTACTGATTAATATTTATTAATTTATTATATTAAGTATAATATATATTCTGACATTTTTAATTATTTCATGGCTATAATGTTTAGGTATCATTTTTTTCTTCAATTGAAAATGGATGTTATTGAAGGTCGTATTCTTTGTGATGCCGATCAAGCAGTATTACTAGCTAGTTATAGCATGCAAGGTAGTAAAAACATATAAGACAAACATCAATCACATACAATTAAGAATTTAATGTACGCAATTAAATTAATTCATTTTTTTTAAAAATATATATAGCTGAGTTTGGAGATCATGATTTAGAAAAACATACATCTGAATATCTTAAAGATTTTCAACTTTTCCCAAAGGTATGAGTTTAGTTTAAAACATAATACTTTTTATTTGCTTAGTCAATTAATTTCCTAGAAAACAAGTTAAAATTAAAAATATTACAAGTTTTGTTTAATTTATTACTTAGATTAAACTAATTTAATTTTGTTTTGTTGATACGTAGCAACTAATAGCGATACAAGGGCGTCTGGAAAGTCTCACAGAAGCTGTTATCTGCCAACATCTGGCTTTAGCAGGCTTACCTCAAGGGACTGCTGAAGAATATTATATTATTGCAGCACAACAGCTAGAAGGATATGGACAGGAAAAATTTCTAGCTAAAGTATATTGCAAAATATTTATTATTCATAATATTTGAATTCAGTAATGGTTTATTTTTGGTTAATGTTTTAATATAAATAATTTAATGGTAATTTAGGATGATAGTTCTACTGAAGTGACACTTGCAGTTAGTCTCAGAGGTGTAACAATTCAAAACCAAAATAGAAATACAACATTTTACCAGTAAGCATTCAGTATTTTTTTTAATATATATTTAATATTACAATAATCGTTATTACTGTTATTTTATTAGATGGGAAGACATAGCAAATGTTATAAATCATAAACGGTATTTTAGCATAGAAGGGCAGCATGAGAATTTTATACAGTTTCAGTTTAATGATGTTGAAACTGCTAAATATGTATGGAACATGTGTGTTTTGCAGGTAAACTATTATTTTTAAGTAAAACTATCATTGTTCATTAATTTGTGTGAAGTTGTTTTTTTTACTAATTGTTGTTATTATATGTTTTATAATTTAGCACATGTTTTATGGGCTGCATGAAAAAATTGATCAAACCGGTGACAACAAGGCTGACATTATGAGAAAAAATTTAGAATCTCATATTGACGTAAGCAGTCAGAAATATTATATATATATATTAAGAGAAATTGATGTAATAACAATCATAAATATTTTTTCTCTAGAATAATATAGAGAGCAGCCGAGAGGAATTAGATATTGTTGATGCTAAAGAATCAGTCATGATAAGAGGTTCATTTCCTTTTAATGGAGTTCGTGCTCAATCAACATCTTGTTTAGATTTGTCCTCTTCACAGGCAACTGAAAAAGCACGGTTGGAAAAAAATGGACACAAATCTATGTAAGTAACAAACAATTATAATGATGATTTTGCTGTAGAATTTATAATTATTAATTACATCTTCTAATAGATTTAAATTATAGAATTATAAAGTTTATGTTAATATTTTTTACCAGATCTAAATTGCCATCATATAGATTGGCCCCAGATTATGAAACTGCTGTTCAACGTAAATATTCCCAAGGGGATTATTACAATCAGACTCCAAATTTAATTCCTACAACTTCTATTAGTCATCAAGATATAAATCTTCATCAGGTAAGATTATTTGACAAAATATTTGGGCATATTAAATTAAATTAACTTTACTATTTTTTTTTTGTGTTGGAGATATCTACGAGCTACTAATAGTATTTCTGAATACACATTTAAACATGTATTAAAATCTTAAACTTTTATTTAATAATTTAGTTTTAAAATTGAGACTCTAGGCTTAATACAAATGTTGTCTTTATTAAAATATGTTATGTCTATTAATTTGATAATAAATTGTTTTTTTTTTGAGGTTTGGTATCAGTTTTGTTAATTGCTGTTGATGTGTTGGAAATATTTGTAAATTAATATTTTTTATAGATGCTCACTGATCCAACATAAAATAAATAAATTCCAATATTTAACATTTTATACTTACATAACACTTTATGATATAAAAATTCATATTTATTAACAATTTTACATTTTTTGTGTTTTACATTGGCTATTTCCAAAAATAATTTTTTTTTAAATTTAAAACTATTATCTTTTAAGTTTCAATTAGTGTGGTTGCAAAATGACAGTAATTTTTGATATTCAAAGAATAGTTAACCTGTAGGTCAAACCTTTTTTTATTCGTCAAATTGTAATACATTAAGACATGTACCAATGAATTATATTAATTTATTATAGTTTATGCTATTTATCATTATTTATTGATCAGATCACTAAAGATACTATACATGAACATACATTTTAATACTTATATATTTTGTTATAAAGTGGTTTATTACTATTTTTATTATTTTAAGTAATTTAGCCATCTAACTATTCTAATCAGACAGGAATTTTGGATTGCAGTTGTCATTTTATCATAATGAATTCAATAGTATAGTCATAAATAACTAAATAAGTCTATTGGAATCTATTAGAATATTATATTATAATAATAATATAAAATAAATTATATTCTATATTTTGCTTACAACACATACGCTTAATTTTTTTGATCAAACATAACATTTAAATTAATTTCTGAAGTAATACATTGTTTATTTTATACAGTATACTGTGGGATTAAGTTTTTCTTAATTTCTAATTACAAAATTTACTTGAGTTTTTAAGTTTTTAAAACTGATACAAAATAAATACACCAGTCAAGTAAAAAATTATAAATTAAAATATATTAATAGACACCTATAGATATCCTTCAAAAATCAAAATTATAATTTTTATTATTAAACTTATGTTATATATTTTTAAGAAGATAATATTTATGTACACAATTCTTTTATCAGAATGTTCTATTTTTAAATACTATTTATATATCAAGGACTTTTGTTAAAAAATATTCCTAGTTATAATATTTTAATTAATTACAGTCTTATTTAATATATATGGTTTTAAGAATAAAATGTTACAATTAGTGTCTCATGAAATATACTAAAATTGCGATTTTTGTGTGTTTATATGATTAATTATTATTTTTTTTATTTTTTTTTTAGTACAACAATGATTATAAGCAATTTCCTGATGTCACTCAAGTGAACATAGTATCAACTGCTCATCCCATTCATGGGTGTGTACCTATAATTGTCATTAGTCGTGTCACACTTCATAAAAGCTTAATAATATACTGGTGTTCATTGAAATATTTTCAGAAAAACATCAGATTTAGATATTCCAGCCCAGGATACTGAATACATCCAAATATTCAAACCACCTCCACCTTATCCAATTAGTTATAGTACACCAGATTTAGCAAGAGCATGTCCATTAGGGTACATTCAAAATCCAGTTAGTTTTTATTATATTAACTTATTTAGTTTTTAATAATATGTGTTGTATATTTTTGAAATATGTTTAAATATGTACATAAATTTCTAGGTAAGTGGTTCAAGTCCTGATCTTTTGTCATCAAGAGGTCCTAATTTCCAGATTGCTCCAAACCGTTACAATGCTTCTCATATGTTGACAAATTCTGATACACACAGGACTTACACAAATTTGAACGCGTTGCTTGAACCAAAAAAGGTTTATATTTTTTCTAAAAACTTCTTTAGTTCAGTTACTAATAGTCATCACTTATTAATTTTTTTTTAAAGAATTTAGATGAGTTCCGCACAGGTTTTAATGGAAACAACATGATGTACTATATGGGTCAGCATGGTCCTATTTTAAATCAACCAATAACTAGTGTGATTGTTAACGAAAGGCCACATAATTGCAGTACAGGTAAGTTTTTAACTTATAAATTAACTCTTAACCATAACAAAATTTCTAGGTATAATTTTTTATGATATCAAATCTAAATATACTAAAAAATATTCTCACTTAATAATGTAAAATTACTATAATTGTTTTTTAAAACTTATTAATTTTCATAAAATTGAATAAAATAAAGTTAAATGATCAAAAAGATTTATATCAACCTTTGTTGGATTTTTTCACTCAGTATAAACTCATGATAAGTATAATGACAGCTGATCACGTATTTTAAATAAAATTGTATGCATTATCTCAAAAATCTCGTATTACCCTAATTATCTCTAAGGAAAATCAATATATATATATATTGGGTTTTCAATAGTTAAATTAGAATTCTCTTACAGATTACTTTAAAAAAACCATATTTAAATAAACTGATTTAACAGTCTTATCACAGAGATACATACAGTGTTATACAATTTTTGAGACTGACTGTAAATTTAACGATTTAAGACTTATATTATGTTATAAACAACAATGATAATATTTCAAATACAATTACTTTATATGATATTTACTAAAAAATTACATTGATGGACTAGATTTTCAGTTAACAATACATTGTTTTTTGCTATAAACTCTAAACTTCATTAGTTTGATAAAAAATTTCTAATTAGTCGATCATTTAATAGTTCTAGGTAAATGTACAGAACCTATTTATGAAAATGTACCGTTACCGTGGAATTCTAAAGATGTTCGCAACCGTGCAGCTGGTCCACAAGTAGCTTCTGAGATCAAATCACCCATTAGTAAGGTGCCTCAACAAGTGCAGCCAGTAAAAGAAGAAATTATTGTGGAAAGACAACAGCATGAAGTTATGCCTATGAAAAACAACACTTTGGATATGAGCAGTATTTCTAATGCATCATCACAAGTAGTTTCAACATCAATTATTCATTCAGCAGAACAGTCTTTTGGTAAATATAATATTATTATTAAATTATAGACATTAGTTTATTTAAGCAAATTAAATAGAAATGTACCTTTTATTTATTGTTATAATTTTTAGATTCTTCAAATCAAAGCAGTAGTAGTGGAACATTGAAAAAGGAAGGAAGAAGTAAAAATCGCCGAAAGTGGGCAGGTTTGTTGAGTGGTGCGGTGAAAAGTAAAACATTAAACAGAAACGGTGACATAAGTGTGGAGGAATTTAACAAACGTCATTCTACTGTTCCACGACTTCCTATACCTTCAACTATTTCTAAAGACACTATGGTATATAGATTATAATTAATTTATATTTTTACAACTACAATTCTAATTTTTTTTTCTTAGTGCCAAATCTTAGAGCATAAATTAGAAGACACAGAGTTATTTCATGAATTTGACAAAATCACTAAAGTTAAACCAAATGCAGAATTTTCCACAGCTTTTGTATTAGAAAATTATTCAAGGAATAGGTAAGTATTCTGTTTATTTTTTTTATTGATGACATATCATTAAAACTATTTATATAGGCACAAGGATATTTTGCCTTATGAAGAAAATCGTGTTCGTTTATCACCGAGTAAAGAAAATCGATTTGGATATATCAACGCATCTCATATTACCGTCAGTTAGATTATTTTGTGTTTTTAATAATTATCAGTTAAATCATCAATTTTTAAGCGCTGAATTTTTTTTTTATCAGGCATCGGTGGGAAACGAACAAAGATTTTACATAGCTACACAGACACCATTGCCAAGTACGGTGAATCATTTTTGGCAAATGGTATGGGAGGCTGGAGTACACCTTGTCCTTGATTTGTCCCTACCCAAAATCAATACTATAGATGAAAATTATGGAAAATACTTTCCAACAGTTGCTGATCATTCTGTACAATTTGGAGAGGTAAGTTTATTATTTTTTTTCAATATTATTAATTATTATTACTTATCGTGGCAACTGGTGAATTTTATCGACTCTTATTTTAGTATCATGTATGGCTACAATTCACACAAGAGACTGGTCATTGTGTCACTAGTAAATTAAAATTGCAACACAACTCATCTAGACGATCAAGAAGTGTTTGGCATTTACGGTATGATCAATGGGTTGAGCAGGATTGTCCGACTGATGTTTCACATTTTCTTGGTAAGTGATAGACATTAGTAAAATCAAGAAGACTAGAATAAGGATACTATACTCTATTTAGAAAAAAACTTCCCAAAAAAGTTACCCTATTAAACAGTCACAATCTGCGCGTGGTCTGATTCGTTGTTACTTTAAACCACTTAGTATAGGAATTATTTGTTTTTTTATTACTTATTAGAGTAAATCATTAAATTTAACAATCCATTATTAATTATTATTTCATCTGATGTACTGGATTTAGTAGTATTATATAATAATACAATTTTGAATATATATATTATATTATTTATTATAGTCTGTTTACTATTATAGTGGTGTAGTGATGACTTCGTTGTTTAATTGAATTTTACTCATTATTAATATAATAAAGATAAAGTGTACATACTTTGTATGAAATGCCAATTTACATGTTACACAATTTGCATGGTTCAAAATATTACGTAATATTATGTGTGTTTTCCAAAAAGAAAAATAATAAAAAGTATAAATAATTCCAGTATTACAAGGGTAAATTAATTAGCTACAGATGTGGCTGTTTAACTGTTCGTCTCATCTCGGGGTTATTCAAGTGGGGGGTTGTACATATTTGGTCCCCTAGTTTATTGAGTAGAATACATGGTTCATCATAACTAAATGTATTTGTTGTCAATAGGTTTCTTGGAAGAAATGAGTTCAGTGCGTGAACACACAATCACAGAAATACCAACTGGACAAAATCGTAATCCACCAATTCTTGTCCATTGTAGTACAGGAGTCGGCAGAACTGGCCTAACAGTATTAACTGATCTTCTACTGTATACTCTAGATCACAATCAGGTATGAGTTAATTTTGAAATTGGGTTAATAGAACTATTACACAATGTATTTTCTTATGGAAGGAATTAAGAATTTTAGATTATTATTTTATTTTGAAAACTGTATTGGCAATGTAAATAACCAATGAAATCAAATTAGTTGTTCTAATTTATCGTATGATAAAATAATTATTGAATAATGTGTGTTTTTAGGAATTGGACATACCTAAAACCATATCATTGGCTCGACACCAGCGCATGTTGTTTGTGGAAACAGTTGCTCAATACAAATTTATACATTCATTGCTCATTTACTATTTGAAAAATTCACGTCTCATTTAGTAAAAATTATGAATACAGTATGATTGTTATGCTCAAAATACCAGTAAACAATACAGGGTCAACATGTTAAATATTGATTAAATATGTAAGTTTGTGTGTTTGTGTTTGAACCCAAGTAAAAATAGAAAATGGCACCCATAAAAGAACAAAACATTTTTCAGTATTTTATAATAATGCAAATAATGCAATTGATATTAAAAACAAATAACATTATCAATATAATTTTTTTATTGATTTCAGTAATTTTTTTTACAATGAATTTAGTTCATTAACGAATATTTTATTCCTTTAACAGTAGTAATGTACTTGTTTTATTTTACAAAAAATGTTTGTTACATTAACTTAGTATTACATATTATTGTTTAATTTTTGTATCCTAAGAATATAGTTCTTAATTTTATAAGTCAATGTCTTAAGGGCATAAATCAAGTATTAAATCCTTACAAATGTTAAGAAATTAGTTCATTTTAATTATAAATTATTGTTTATAACTTGACGTGCACATTGCACTATGTATTTATAAATTATCTTTAAATGAAGTATTATATATTATTTATTATTTATGTATGTTATATAACAGTAGCATGCATTTATCATGAAGCGAACTATATACGCGCCTAGTGATCAGTTATATTATTGAATGAAAATCATTAATTTTATTTTTTAAGAACAAATTTTTTTATATTTTACTACTATTTCGGTATTAATAATTTAATTATTGTTAAATGTTGATTTGTCGATACTATAAATTTGTTATAATTATTTAATTTTGTTAACAGCATAATATTTTATACGAATAAATCATGATTTTTGTAACATTACTCAACAATAACTAAAGTCTTAAATAATTCAGAATAATCTTACTACATTTAAATCCAGTGTAGTCGAGTAGTTCACCATTCAACGCAGCCATTAGCTTGATACAAAATAGGGCTAGCTGCTGAGTGTTGGTTTTGGGTTCTTCTTCAATCATTGTGTTTGTACCAGTTCACCATTATATTGGTGTTCACCAGTTTCCATACAATTGTATCTACCAATAAATACAGTAAAAACTGCACCATAGGGTTGGGGGAACTGACTGTAGTCTTCACATTATGCAGCTGCTTTACTGGTAGTGGAAGTTACAGACAAAGATTGACTTGGTATTAATCTTAGGTTATTTATATCCACTTTTTGCTGATTTTGGTGTTATTACAGTAGTTATAACTATATTTTAGCTATGTGACCGTTAAGATGTGTTATATAAATACAAAGCTTTAAAAATATTCTGTACGACTCCTCCACCCATAGGTACAAATAGGAGGGGGCTTTAGGGGCTAAGCTCTCCGAACATTTCTTAAGTTGTGTTTAAGCTCAAGTCCTCCAAATCTCAAACGCTATTGCCAACTACTCCTCTGCCTCATGCAGAACTTTATCACCCAAGTCAGTCAGGAGGTCCTCAAATTAAACCCACACAGTAGGTCAGCCGGGTTTGCCATCGTTAGAGAGTGCTTGAAATGTGAGTGGAGACTGGAAAACTAGGCTATTTCTACTTTATGGGCATAGGATCAGGGTGTACTTAGGTGTATTGTACTGTTGTATAAAGCAGTAATATAGCTATATAGGTATGGCATAAGACTTAAAGTTTCCACATATTGATGGAAATATTATTAATAGAAATTGAGGTAACTATATAAGATAGCTTTATAATAAATGAATGTTGATAACTTACTGCCCACTGGATATTGATCTATCTGTAGAATTATTTTTTAATTTTTTGTTTTCTTGTAGAGTAGGTAACAAAAATATAAAACAATATAATTTATAGTGATATGTACAATGTACATATTATAAGTTATTACATTATACCAGTCATGCCCAACCCGCGGCCCGCGGGCCACATGTGGCCCGCCAAGGTATTCCATGTGGCCCGTTACAAATTATTAAAATAAAACAAAATATTCCAAAAAAAGTAAAATTATTACAAAATACGATTTTAATTAATTTATAAATAAAAAATACAAAAATAAAAATAAAAAGTATATAAAAATGTTTTTATATTGCAACCTACTATGTGTACCTAACTAAATTGTATTAAGATTGAGATTATGAGTACTTTTATATTTGGTGGTCCGCTCGATTACAAATGTTTACGAAAGTGGCCCGCCGAGGAAAAAAGGTTGGGCATCACTGCATTATACTATGAGTATTTTAGAAATATGTTTGTACTACAATCGAATTATCTCGATTAGTCTTTTCCGATTTGATTGAACTGACCAGATAAAATCAGTTTGTTGATTGGGTATAATATGTTTTATTATAAATTATTGTACCTATGTAAAATATAAAATGTAAAAGGTATACAATTCAACGCTTCTATCCCGCCATAATTATATGAGCCGAACATATTGTATCATAAAGTAAAACGATCAGAGTTCTTAAAGTGGGGTCTTATGTTATGGGTTGATATCTATTATATAGTATTATGTATAACAATATTATTTTTAAGTTTCGGCTATAACTCATTAACTACTTAAACGTTAAAATAGGTGAACTAACGTGATACAAACTCAAGAATAATCTCAAGAAAACATATTTTCAGCTTAATTAAATAATTGTGTCACCTGTTACGTTATGCAAATGCAAATTTATAAATGTTTTGAATTGGTGATTCTATTAATATTTAATATCATTTGTTGTAGGTATAATGATTTTGTTGATTTTTGAAAATTTACGATGAATTCGAGACGGTTGATTCAATCTGTTTAAAATTTTTATTTTGATGCGTTGTAATTCATCAAAACTAGTATGGGTACTATAATATAACTTTGCTAATATTATAAGCATCGCCTTTTTTTTGTATAAACCGAGACTGGGGACGGAACTACTTTCGCATTACTTCGACCTGTTATAAGCACTACCTATTATCTAAGCATTATAATTTTACGTTAACGAATTCATAGTATTGGGAACATATTTTACTAGATATATCGCAAAGTTTAGACAGGTAGTTTTAGGAATATACCTTAAGTTTCTGGATACGATGGGGGCGTAAGGTTTAAAGCATAACGAAAATGAAACTTAAAAATGTTGATATTCTCAACTCGTTGGTTAGTATTTTAAAATGTATTAGAAATAGAATAAGTGACTGTTTTGTTTTTAAGAAAACACATTTAATTTCTTACGTTGTAATGTATTATTTACCTACCTATGTATTTTACGCAAAATATCTTAAGCTATCTCTAAAAAAAATCGTGCTATATGAGAATGAGATTGAAAAGTTTTATGCTGATTACATCAAGATTCAAGGCTGATGGATTGTGTTGAAAGAATAACGTTTTACACCGAACCAGAGTATATTTTAATAAAACATTTGTTCGGGAATTATACTAAAATGGTACAGACAAGTTGATCAGCAAGAGACAAAATGACGTACTGTAGAAGGAAAATATTTTAATATACTGAAAAATATTCGGTCAGTTGTTATTGGTGATTATTTGAAAAATACCAGCTGTTTTAAGAATATTTGAAAAAATCATTTATCCAAAAACGTTTATTATGATCTTGGATCAGTTTTTATTGAGATGTATACCTAGATATAAAATGGTTGGTTATAATTTAGGGTTAAATTAAATGTAAATTTAGAAAAGCGGGTAAGTGGACTTAGTCACTCTGCTGTACATTCGGTGTCTAGGAGGTCGCTGTAATGGATGATATTAAATTTAAATTCAACGATATCATATTATCATTGTATACGGAAAACGATTCTGAGCGAAGACGGTACCTCAGTCTATTATATTTTATATTGTTATTACTTATTAATATGGTAGCTGATAAGTTCAATTGATATTGTTCTTAAATTATCAGTGATGCTGGAAAAATATTAAATATACTTATGTAAAATTGGGCTGTTTTGGAACCGAATTACAACAAAATGATAAATGTTATTCTTTATGTTAATATGCAATCTTATTCAAATTTGAACTTAAAATGTCTGTTAAAAATAACTATTCATATATTTTTTAGATTTTTTAGTTACGGAAAAATCTGTTTAAGTGGAACCTTGTTTTAAATTTTCAATCCTTAGTTAAAAAAATTGAACATTTTATACATTTTTAACTACAAAATCATTTTAAATTTTCAACTTGATAAATATTGTCAACATTTGTACTTTAAATGCTTATAAATAAAAATTGTGCCTATGTATTTTTAATATTCTTCAACTGCTATTGTAACAAGTTGTCAAGAGTATTGTATTAAATTTTCATGCTTTTTAACAAAACTAATACAATTTTATTGACATTTATAGAAAAAAATGAAAATGGAAATGCCCGTCAGCCGCCTAAAATGGGTCAGAATATTTTGAAAATTTGTTTTTCCTGTTGCTTTTGAAAACTATTGGGAATTTTAAATTTTGACCTCCCGAATGCATCAACTAGATTCACTTCCTTACCAGAAAAGCTGCTATTTAAGGAAATTGAAGCACTCTTACTGCAAGAAACCATGGTGGCAGACACAAAAAAAAAAAAAATATAAAACACACATCATTGTGAAAGCAATACATTCATCACTCCGCTCAGAATCTAAAATTAATAAAAATAGTTTCATCAGGTACTATACGCGTATAATGATTGGTTCGTTATTCGTATGTTCTATAATGACTAATTAGTTAATTGTATCGGTATGTACCTATATAATACTCACCTAATTACCTGCTTGTATTAATTAATAATGTTTTATACACTTGATTACATGACACAATAATTCGAAATACGATCATGTTGTTAGACGTTATAGTTACACATTTCGATTTTCTGTTTTGTATAATATGTGTGGAGATGTGATATACTTATGTACTAATATTTACCAATAACGTCGATAATACAAAATAATGGAAATAGAAACATGAGATTTAAATTTCGGTGTTAAAGTGAAACAAGTGAAAGAATATGCATTCTTGATTATATATAACATAACACATTCATCAGTGTAAATAGTTGGATTATTAGGAATAAATACATTTTGATGAATAAGCGCTTTAGTATTATTTCAGATCAAATAAAGAAATTCGAGAAGAAAACATAACAAATTAAATTTAGCCACAAAAATGGCCCGTAAAAAAATCAGGTGCTCTCATAATTCCAAAATCTGACCAGCTGGCAGCTAGGTACATGGAGCCCATCTAACGCCCATCTAACTCATCTTCTGTATACAAAAAATACCAAATAATGAGAGTGTAATTCGAGAGAAAAGTATATCCACATCGAATAGGTATCTTATAATTATATAATTCTTGTTCTGTTGAGCTAAATATTTTATTTTAAAAGCTAATAAAAAAAAATTATTGTCCAAGTTGTAAGCCTGAGAAAATGTTGTAAGCTCAGGTCAGAAGTTACTTATGTATTATAATATTACATACGTGTTACAGGCGTTATAGCATCAATATATAATAGCATATTATGTTTATGTAATTTGAATTAGATATAATATACTTGTTTTGTCCTTCTTTTGAATAACATATTTGTAAGTACAATGCTAAGTGCCGTATTAACTTTCATTGGTGCCTAATGGCCAAGGGCAATAATACTTGGCGCCCCTAAGAAATAACATATATATTTAAACATTTGTTTAGCAAATGTTACAATTTTGGCCACCCTAAGGCATTTGCCCCTCCCCCCTGGCTCTGTCAGTGACATGGTTCTACGAAATATAAAAAGCATAGGTGCTTCATAGACATCCGTAGGGCCAATACATTTATAAACCTGAACTTGACTATACAAAAATATTTATAATATTAATAACAACAATTTATTTCTTGTACATATTTCTAGGTTATAACTTCGATTTGAGTTA